GATTTTTCAACTAGAGAACGCCTACCTTTCATTGTAGTGTGTTCCGTACTGAATTGAAATCTTATAACTTACGATAAACTCGACTACTCGATATAGTCTACTACATTCACAACACATATCAAACTTAGATACCTAAACATAACTAGACTCGATGCTCCAGAGCTACGACACCAACTCGTTTAACTTCATTAAGCTCTACAAACGATACTCCCTATCAGCAACGATTTCACTGGACCTACTACTACACTTTTACAGTAAATCTAATTCGATGCCTTAATGAAACAAGAATCAATACACCCGAACTCCAGAACTACGATTCTTCATCACCTGCATTCTCATTTCTTTTATTACCAATCAGATTCCACTAGACTTTCAACTACAAAACAGCCGAATAAAGATTATGACACTTTAAGACGTTGATACTTTATACCTACGAAACCAAATCAGCAACAGGCTTCCGCCGTTACTCCCAAATCTAAACGATTCATCAAAACTTACCAAACAAGTACAATACGTTGAACACCCCGTCATTACAAAACTCTGTACACCAGGACAGATTTCTAATTCAAAGTCAGAGAAAACGAGACTTACAAGCCCTAATTTTGGGGTGGGGATGTAAAATTGAGAGTTTGTCCTGGGTGCCGAAATAGATTGGTACGCCTTTATAAAAGTTATTAATTATTTATTAGGTACTTTTTGATAATAGTGATTAATCATGTTGCGCCCCCTAGGGACGGCGCCTAGGCGACCGCCTAGTTCGCCTTATAGGTAGCGCCGGCCCTGCATTTGCCTTATTCCCATGATCTACCAAGTTATCGTGATGACCTACCATTTGACTTATTCCCATACTTATCCTGCTGACCTACTATCTGACTTATCCTGATCATCTACCAACTTAGCTTGATGACCTACGATTTGACTTATCCCTATGTAACGAAACCTGATGACTTATGATAACCTACCATCCAAATCCGAATGACTCACTAAACTATCCTAACGATTTATCATCTGACTTAATTCTTATGAGCTATCATATTTATTATTCCTAAGACCTACCTAACTTACCTTGATTTCCTAACTTACTTATCCTGCTAAACCTCATTACTTATAGATTCCCCTGAAATATTTCGCAGCTTACACCTCCAACTAACCTCTTCCCTAACTGAACTATTTTGATTTAACCTTAATCTTAACCATAACCATAGCCACAACCAAATCCTCATGAATATTACCTTCGATATGTCTGTGTACTGTATTGGGTTCTTCTGTCTAGGGGAGGATGTATGACAACCTGATACGTACAGCACAATACAGTATATTGAATCATACTAATAGTGATAATAAATAATGACAATCACGTTCAATGCATACACCAACTGTCAGTGAATACCACTCGTCCGAAAACACAACACACAACCAAGGGCTACAACTGTGTACAAAAGTGGGTACCTGACACACCACGTGTTTCTGTCAGACTTTTTTCTCCGGGGGGGGGGGGTCGCTAAAAAATTTCGGAGTGGGGGGAGCGGAGGACTAAATTTACGGGGATAGTCTCCCCCCCCCCCCCAGAGAAGATGTCTGGAAGAAACTCTGGGCACACACACTGACACACACACACACACAAGCAGGGAGTGTATCCGTGAAGGATTTAACATACTACTGCTATAAAAGAACAAAGCAATACACAAGATCTAACACGATAATCCCAAATCTCAGAAAAGAAGAGTTCGGATTCAACGCGACCGAGAAGAAGATTATCTCCCCCATCCTGACCTTCATCCAAAAGCTGCAAGTGATCAAGGGGCGGCAACTGAGGGGGGAGAGCAGACTGCCGGCTAGCTCCAAGTGGCACCTCTTCCAGACGCCGATCATGAAGACCAAGTTGAAAAACCTCATACTGTCAACAAAACACGCGGCGGTAAGGGGTGTCATGTGACTTTGTTTGACGGTTTGATTGGGTGTAGGGCTTTAGTGCAATGTAGGCTTTTGGTGAACTGTCTTTAATATAAAAAATGGACGTTTTAATGATTATAGGCTTTTGGTGAACTAGATTTATTGCAACAAATGAACGTTTTAATGATTATAGGCTTTTGGTGAACTAGATTTATTGCAACAAATGGACGTTTGTTGATTGTAGGTTTTTGGTGAACTAGATTTATTGCAACAAATGGACGTTTGTTGATTGTAGGTTTTTGGTGAACTAGATTTATTGCAACAAACGGACGTTTGTTGATTGTAGGTTTTTGGTGAACTAGATTTATTGCAACAAACGGACGTTTGTTGATTGTAGGTTTTTGGTGAACTAGATTTATTGCAACAAATGGACGTTTGTTGATTGTAGGTTTATTATGAACTAGATTTATTGCAACAAATGGATGTTTGTTGATTGTAAGCTTTTGGTGAACTATATTTTTTGCAACAAATGGTCGTTTTATGACTGTAGGTTTATGGTGAACTATGTTTATTGTATCAAATGGGTGTTTGTTGATTGGTGGCTTTTGGTAAAATATGTTTATTATAAAATAGGTTTTGGTGGATTGTGGGCTTTCGATAAACTATTTGTATTGTAACATATGGAGACAGCCCTATGTCTTTGCCGAAAGGTGGTTCTATGTCATTCAGTGTTTCTTCCAGACTTTTTTCTCCGGGGGGGGGGGGCACTTGAAATCTTCGGGGAGGGCGGTAAACTTTCTTCGGGGGGGGGGGGGCGGACACTGTTAAAAGTATATATTTTCTATATAAATTATATAAATTTCATTTCGTTCGGGGGGCGGTAAAAAAAATTTGGTACCCCCCCCCCCAAAGAGATGCCTGGAAGAAACTCTGATGTCATTGTAGGAAGGGTGGGGGGGGGGTCTTTGACCTTGTAAGGAGACGGGTCTATATCCTTAAGTAGGCGGGCCATGTCCTTAAGTAGACGCGTCTATGCCCAGGTACAACTGTGGACTTAAGTTTTAGCCTGACCGGATGCCTACGTCCTAGTGGTCAGTAGTGTAACTACATTTAACTATTGCTATATAGCTACAAACCCACCATCTTTATAAACAATAATTTATGAAGAAAACTCCAATCCATGCGGAAAAAAATATGTTTTTTGCTTTTTAGATTCGGGCACGATTTCGACGGGTCATCAATCTAGTACGATGCGTTTATCGTTTTATTCACATCATCTCTGTCATGTAAGTCTTTAATTAAATTCAACGAGTGAATGCAACATGAAAATAGAATGAGCGAATACATAAATGTAACCAAAGTCCCGTTAGGGCAGTGCATGCCATTCCTTTCAAGGAATAAGTCACGTGATACGGATGAATGAAAGACCGGATGTTTTTTTTGTGTGTTTTCTGGGTTCTGTTAGATTACTGATAACTGCGTGTTTTAGCGAAGATATTAATGTAGTAATACAAGATTTCGAATGTTGATACTGCTATTATTAAATGGAGATGGAGTGGACACATTTTGCACCCTCACATGTCAAGCACTAGACTGGAATGCCCAAGGAAAGAGGAATCGCTTAGAACTGAGTACGACTGTAATGCCCAAGGAAAGAGGAATCGCTTAGAACTGAGTACGACTGTAATGCCCAAGGAAAGAGGAATCGCTTAGAACTGAGTACGACATGAATGCCCAAGGAAAGAGGAATCGCTTAGAACTGAGTACGACATGAATGCCCAAGGAAAGAGGAATTGCTTAGCACTGAGTACGATGGAAAGGTGTGGTTGAATCCCTATGCTCCACAAGGGGTCCACATGATGACAATAATGATGATTGCAATTATTTGAACGTATTAACTTTGTTAACAGTTGAAAAAAATGTAATCATATCGTAGCAATGTTGCCATAGTGTTGTGGAAAAAAAATAATACAGTCCTATTATTATTGCATGAATATTGTTAGAAATGTTAAAATATTTGTTTGAGTGCTAGTTTCCTGTCTTTAAAATGTATGCTTATCGTGAATGTTTTAGGATATAATAGTCTTGAGAAAGTATATGTATAAGAATTCTACCGAGCAGACAGAGGCGTAGCGACCCTTCCCGGCGCCCGGGGACAAACTTTCGATTTGCACCCCCCCTCAAACTTTCGATTTGCACCCCCCCCCCTTCAAACTTTCGATTTGCACCCCCTCCCTCGAACTTTCGATTTGTTTCTCCAACCCATTTTGGCGCCCCCTAACATATGCCCCCCCCCCCCCCGCCCCCTCCCCTCGCTACGCCTCTGTGAGCAGATACTTAAATTAAACTAGCACCGGTTCTTTCCCTCCTTCAGATCGGGCGACACCAAACTGATCATGAAGAGTGTGGCCCAGTTCACACAGGAGCAACTCAAGAACACCTCCCTAAAGTTCGGCAACCAAAACCGAGACGGCAAGGGGAAAATGATGTTCAACGCGGCTAAATATAAACTCTCGAAACGGGTAAATCCGATCATGCAACAAGCAGCTATTTATAAGCTTCAGTAATAAATAAATCAGAACGTTTGAAAACTAACGTATGTTTAAAAAAATAATCTAAAAAAGTAAAGAGTATTTATCAAAGATTAGTTAAAATGTTTTAGATTTTGGCTTTAAAATTTGAAGACCCGATTTCTCTCTGAATTAAGATGAACTAACTTGATTAGCGTCTTTGTCCAAGATGTTTTTATATCCTCATCTTGATTAGCCTCTTCGCAACTTCTTTAATAGTTGCAACTTAATTAGTCAATTAATCTAATCAAATATGATCAGTACCTTAGAAAAATTCGCGCTAGTATTTTCATATACCTAGTTCCACGTATATCGATACTTCAACTATATACATAGCATTATGTAGAATCGAGATCATAGCCCTAAACTTGAAGCCAATTATAGTAATTAGGATATTGATATGGGTCAAATACCACGTACTCTAATTAAAGCAGCAGATCACTACGCCACTATCTATTACCCCAACCCATTATCAAATATTGCAGTCATTAGTACCAAACTCAGTGGCGTAGCCAGGATCGTCTCAAGGGGGGGGGGGGGGGGTTCCAATTTTTACCCGGGGACAAACTTTCGATTTGCACCCCCCCCCCATAAACATTCGATTAGCACCCCCCCCCCTCAAACTTTCGATTTGCAACCCCCCCCCTCAAACTTTCGATTTGCACCCCCCTCCTCAAACTTTCGATTTGCACCCCCCCCCCCTCAAACTTTCGATTTGCATCCCCCCTCATACGTTTTATATATATATACCGAGGGGTCTATGGGGGGGGGGGGGTTATGACCCCCCCCCCCTAATTCCCTCTGCCTACGCCACTGACCAAACTCTCTGCTAGCTCAGCCTATTTTATAAAACAAATTTTACAACGATGAGTTTTAAAGAACAATACACATGATATGACGGGACGGAATGGTCGCGCTGGTAGAGTTCACGATAACTTATCATAAACTTTCGAGTTCGGATCCAGGCTCAGTCTATTTTATAAAACAAATTTCATAACGATGAATGTTAAAGAACAACACGCAGGATATACCGGGACGGAGTGGTCGCGCTAGTAGAGTTCACGACTACTAATCCGAAGCTCTCGAGTTCGGATCCCGGGCTCGACTCCATAACACATCCCTGACTAAAATGGCTTTAGAACTTACTTAGATTTCCTATGCCGAGGTCATAGAAACAGATAAATTCTGCTTCTTATGCCTTTTGAAAAAAGGGGGGTAACCTACTAATGAAAAATGCAGTTTCCTTGAAATCGGTTGTTTATTTTTTTAATTGAAGCACAAAGATAAGTGGTTTTCTTTATATTGTGTGTTACAACACACGTTTAATCTAATCAGCAGGGGTAATATCTTACAGCTCAAACAGTACTAATTTATTAATTGTATGAAACTTCATATTTTTCTAACTTTCAAATAGCAGTATCAGGTACCAGGTTTGTGTTCACTTAGCGTATAAATATTACAGAAATGTTTCCGGCTTCAGGAGGGACTGAATATTTAATTTTCTATTATTTATCTACATTTCTTTTAGCAAATATAATTAATGTCTGTTGTGTAGGCCATATGAAAATAACATAATCGTGTTTTAGCTTTGTGCAAAAAAAAAAAAAAAAAAAAAAAAAAACATTAACCCATTTGATCTGTAGTTTTGTGCAAAAAATATTTTTTCACTTTATTCGAAAAACAACTATTTAGTTCAGTGCAAGTAACATTTTGTTAGACTTTGTGTAAGTAACATTTTTAACCTTTCGCAGTAACGTTTTTTGTAGCCTTGTGCGAAAACACATTTTTTTCTAGATTTTAGCAAATAACATTATATTTTTTAATTAAGCTTTCTTCAAAAAACATTATATTTTTTAATTAAGCTTTCTTCAAATAACATTATTTTTTTAAATAAGCTTTCTTCAAATAACATTATATTTTTAATTAAGCTTTCTTGAAATAAAATTATTTTTTTAATTAAGCTTTCTTCAAATAACATTATATTTTTTTTATTAACCTTTCTTCAAATAACATAATATTTTTTAAATTAAGCTTTCTTCAAATAACATTATTTTTTTAATTAAGTTAAGCTTTCTTTAAATAACATTATTTTTTTTAATTAAGCTTTATTTAAATAACATTATTTTTTAAATTAAGCTTTCTTCAAATAACATTATTGTTTTAATTAAGCTTTCTTCAAATAACATTATATTTTTTTAATTAAGCTTTCTTTAAATGACATTATTTTTTTAATTAAGCTTTCTTCAAATAACATTATTATTTTAATTAAGCTTTCTTCAAATAACATTATATTTTTTTAATTAAGCTTTCTTTAAATGACATTATTTTTTTAATTAAGCTTTCTTCAAATAACATTACTATTTTAATTAAGCTTTCTTCAAATAACATTATATTTTTTTAAATTAAGCTTTCTTCAAATAACATTATATTTTTTTAATTAAGCTTTCTTCAAATAACAATATATTTTTTTAATTAAGCTTTCTTCAAATAACAATATATTTTTTTATTAAGCTTTCTTCAAATAACATTATATTTTTTTTAATTAAGCTTTCTTCAAATAACATTATATTTTTTTTAATTAAGCTTTCTTCAAATAACATTATATTTTTTTAAATTAAGCTTTCTTCAAATAACAATATATTTTTTTAAATTAAGCTTTCTTCAAATAACAATATATTTTTTCCTTATGACTAGCTGCCGTTCAGTATGGAGGTCAAACTGACCTTGACGAAGCCCTGGTTTGATAGATCTGATAACGAAGTGACTGAGGTAAAGGGGTCATCCCATAAATGACGTCACGCTTTTTTTTGACGATTTTTACCTCCGCCCTCAACCTCTGTCGCACATCGTGACAAAAAGCCAGACCCCCCCCCCCCCCAAAAAAAATGACGTCACACTTCAGCTTACAACCCCACCCTCAAAATTGCAGTTGAATTTTTCTTAAAACATCGATTATTTTTTCCACAATCTTGTCTGAACTCTGTCAGCATAGAGTATTTTAATCAATTCCTATTACAATTTATTAAAACCCCATTTTCTAAAACGCGAAATAACGGCTAAAACTCGTTTTCTAACATTACTTTTTGTTCATGCAAAAATGTGACGTCCCACCATCTGAATCCCCCCCCCTCCCCCTCATCACACACCGTCACAAATTTACGGACCTCCCCTCCCACTAAGAGTGTGACGTCATTTATGGGCGACCCCTAAGTATTCACCTGCCCTGTGACAATAGCATATCATATCATTATCTCAATTATTTTTTTTAAATTAATGTTGTTTACTCAATTAAAAAAAAGTTATCTTTTAAGAACAAAACCTGAAGTTGTTAAAACCCAAAACTTTCGGTTGTTGGTAAAATAAATCGCAGGTTTTAATGAACTAAACCTCCAGGTTGATACAAAATTTAAACCTACAGGTTGTGAAGACACTCCAGGTTTTGCGGAGCTTTGTGGAATTTCCTAAGTCTTCGCAGAGGCGCCTGGCACAAGTAGCCTGGCTTATCGAGTAGGTTGATTGATAATTATATTTTCTTCCTAATTAGGCCTATAGACAAGATTAATTAGTTATGATTGTAGATGTGTTTAGTGGGTTGATATGAATATATTTTTAATTATAAATAATTGTTCTTTTTAATTAAGATTTTCTTCATAATTAGGTCTATATACAAGATTATTAATTAGTTATAATAGTACAAGTGATTAGTAGGTTGATGTGGAAATATTTTTAATTATAAATAACTGCTCAATTGTATCTAGATTTTCTTCATAATTAGGCCTACATACAAGTTTAATTAGTTATGAAAGTAGATTTTTTTTTTAATTTCACCTTACGTGTAAATTAGATTTGTGACTGTATCTATTATTACTCTTCTTAGCTAATTAAGTTAATAGAGTTGATGGATACCACTATAATTATACCTAATTAGTTTATTTAAACACGTATGTCTTTATCATTGCACATTGCTAATGTGATCAGTAAATTGGTCTAATGCATTAGCTATTAGTTAAATTACACTTGCCGCATCCTCCCTTGATCTCCAACCCTCTCTGATTCTACTCTAATCTCGAATACTACCCCTCCCTAACTCACACCACTTACCCTCCTCCCCCCCCCCCTCCAACCCCCTCCTAACTCCTCTCTCATACCTGAATGACCACAGGGTACCGGCGGATAAGGTTATCATCAGGGAATGCCACATCTCACAAGATTTCTACATTTTACTTCGCGGAAAAGGTAACCAGTTGTTTTAAAGATTGTAATTAAAAATAGTTTTACTTCGCGGAAAAGAAAATAGGTTTTTACTTCGTAATTCCTATATAATTTTACGAGCCGACCCGCAGCACATCATACGCCGCTATTTAGTTGTTTTATTTTCTACTTTTCAGTAATTCATAATTTGTGAATTCGACAGTACCAATGCTGCCACTGAAAATATTTGCTTTAAAACACTAACCCCCCCCCCTTTCCCCTAACCCCGACCCTACACCCCCCCCCCCCCCCCCGTGAAAGCAGCCTCCTCTTAGTTATTTCTTAGTTACCTCCTGTAATTTTAAAATCGAACTAAATAATCTGCCCCTAATAGAAACCTGACTCTACGGCTCTACGATTTGTAAACATTTAGCTTTGTAAACATTTAGCGTGACCACAGCTCACGCAAGACAATGTGGGGGTGGGGTGGGGGTGGTAGTGATAGTGATAGAGAGAAAGAGAGGGGACTGCAGGGAGGCGCTTGCAGCTTGTTTTCTAACGGCTCCCAGAAGAGAATTATATATATAGATACTTAGCTAACTAAAATAGTTTAAGTTACAATTGTACAAATTATGCAACATTTTTTAATGGATTAATTAAATTAATTTTTTTTTTTTTGTATACACAGCCAAGATGACGAAACTAAATGGAAGTCCTTTCGTCGATGAAAAAGGGGAGCACACTCTAATTCGTTGGCTCAAGAGGGACACAATTTTTGGTGTGAGTTGAAAATTAATTAAAAGGGAAACAACATTTTTGTTGTGAGTTGAATATTATTAGTGTCTTAAATCAAAGATTTAAAGATTTACTATCAATGCCACTATCAATTATTTCACCTGCCAAAAAATACTGATTATGGTTCTGTCAAAAATACTGACTAGAGCTCATACACTAATACTGACCACTGATCAATCACAGGTAGTGACCAGTTCCCTATCACAAAAACTGACAATTGTCCAATCACTAATAATGCCAACTGCACAGTTACAAATAATGCACAGTGCAGGCATAAGTACTGACCACTAACCCGTAAGTCTCGAGTTCGAATCCGGGTTCAAGTCAGTAGACCGTCCCTGAGTCCACCCAACTTTAATGGGTACCTAACTCACGTTAGGGAAAGTAAAGGCGGTTGGGCATAGTGCTGACCACATTATCTCTTTATATGCCGAGGTCACAGAAACAAGTGAACTCTACTTTACTTGCCCCATAGACCGTCAGGTTTGAAAGAGAAACTTTACTTTTTGTTTACTGGTCAGTCACATGTCCTGTCACATATACTGACCACTTCCCTATCTTAAACACTGACTAATGCCTAGTCACCAAAACGGACAACTGATCATTCACAGAGACTGACAAATAAATACTGACAAACAGCATTGTCACAATTAATGACCACTGCCTAGTATTGAACACACTGCTCATTCACAAATACTGACCACTGCCGTGTATTGAACACACTGCTCACTCACAAATACTGACCACTCCCACCCCAGGAGGAGAGTATGTCCCAGCCCCTCTCAGAACGTGAGTACACTGTCTACAGTACTGACCACTGTGACGTGTTGGCTGTTAACATCAACGACTACCTCGACATGCTGATGAAGACACGGGACGATGAGGAGGCCCCAGAACACATCGCCTTTATCAGGTAAGTACACATGGTTGCAGGTACACAGGTTACTGCACACACCTGGTATTGTGTACACAGGTAAACACACATACGTAGTGTCAGGTATACAGGGTAACACATACACACTGGTGGCAGGTACACAGGTAAACACACACTTTGTATCAGGTACACAGGTAAACACACACTTTGTATCAGGTACACAGGTAAACACACACACTCGTGTCAGGTACACAGGTAAACATACACACTTGTGTCAAGTACACAGGTAACTACACACTCATCTGGTGGCAGGTACACAGGTAACTACACACCTGTGTCAGACAAACAGGTAAACAAATACACGTAGTGTCAGGTACACAGGTAACTACACACACGTAGTGTCAGGTACACAGGTAAACACACACACGTAGTGTCAGGTACACAGATAAACACACACACGTAGTGTCAGGTACACAGGTAAACACACACACACGTAGTGTCAGGTACACAGATATACACACACACGTGGTGTCAGGTACACCGGTAAACATACACACCTGGTGTCACACAGGTAAACACACACACATGGTGTCTGGTACACAGGTAAAAACACACACACATGGTGACTGGTACACAGGTAAACATACACACATGGTGTCACACAGGTAAACACACACACATGGTGTCAGGTACACAGGTAAACATACACACCTGGTGTCACACAGGTAAACACACACACATGGTGTCAGGTACACAGGTAAACATACACACCTGGTGTCACACAGGTAAACATACACACATGGTGTCACACAGGTAAACACACACACATGGTGTCTGATACACAGGTAAACATACAAACATGGTATCACACCGGTAAACACACAAACGTAGTGTCAGGTACACAGGTAAACCCACACACACACCTGGAGTCAGTTACACAGGTAAAAAACACACACACATGGTGGCAGATACACAGTTAAACACACACACACACGTAGTGTCAGGTACACAGGTAAACCCATACACCTGGTGTCATGTACTCAGGTAAACACACACACCTGCAACCAGATACACATCGATTTTGTTAGGTAATCGCACACACAAACTTTATTATGCAACAGACACACCTCGCTGAACGAAATATACTATTGTTTACCTATTCTCCCTCGCCTTTCTATCAGCACTCTAGATTTCCTGCGGGATTTCCCGAGGATCAAGCTTCTAGAGGAGGGTTGTGAGAACATCACAATATACTACTTCACGTGAGTATTACAGAGATGTCACATCACCATAATAATACTACTTCACGTGAGTATTACAGTGATGTCAAAACATCACAATATACTACTTCACGTGAGTATTACAGAGATGTCAAAACATCACAATATACTACTTCACGTGAGTATTACAGAGATGTCACATCAACATAATAATACTACTTTACGTGAGTACTACAGTCACGTCAAAACATCACAATATACTACTTCACGTGAGTATTAGGGTTAGGATAATTTGGAGGGGGTTACGATTAGATTTGTAGAAGTTTGGATGAAGTCATCTGTAAGCTGCTTATGACCTCGAAAGTTTGCAGCTTTTGTGATGTGGTGTAGCAAATTGCTACCGAGGTAACCGTTTTAAAACTTTAAAATTAAATTGCTCATATTTTTTTTTCTTTTTTTTTTCTTTGAGTTATTATTTCAGACAAGTTTCAGAAGCGAAAATGTAAACGAGGTTTTTTTTGTTTTTTTAAATGTAAATTTATACCACTTTAAATGCCCATTTGGTCTTTATAACTTTTATAGTGGGACTATCATATAATCCATGACTAGCTTTGAAATCACAATACTCGTCTAGTAAAAGTCCCACGTTCAGCCGTAACATAGTCCACTTGTCATCCTCTTTACAGAGATAACTAATCTAATCGTTAAAAAATGTATAAGCTATGTTCAAGGCTTGATGCTTGACATGGATTTGAACTCGCGTCCATGCGGTGAGGATCAGTCAGACTGTTACCGATCCTGCCAATGTTTAAGTTTGTTGTATATCTTCTCCAGGGCTGGGATGTTGGTAGCCAAAAGTGTGCAGGACGCCCAATATATGTACGTCGTTAAATATGTGAGTACTTCACCTTGTGCCACACAAAGTTTTTAAAGCTAATATTTTTGTCACTATTCTAACGTTGTTATAGTCACGTTGCTAAATTGTTGCTAGTCACATTCATTGTTAAAATGTTGATAGTCACAAAGCTAAATTGTTGCTAGTCACATTCATTGCTAAAATGTTGATAGTCACATTGCTACAATGTTGATAGTCACATTGCTGAAATGTTGATAGTCACATTGCTAAAATGTTGTTATTCAAATCGTTAAAATGTTGATAGTCACATTCATTGCTAAAATGTTACTAGTCACATTGCTAAAATGTTGCTATTCAAATCGTTAAAATGTTGATAGTAACATAGCTAAAATGTTGATATTCACATTGCTAAAATGTTGAAAGTCACATAGCTAAAAAAAGGTTAGGTAATGTAACAAAAATAGTGAAAAAAAAAGCACCATAGGTAAAACATCACACGACTAAAAACCAGTGTTATCAGAGGCGTGTACATTCACTGAAAAGATAAAAAACACATTTTTTGTCGGTTTCTTCAGTGCATTGCCCGCATGACTGGCTAATCAATGGAGCTCAGAAACCTAATTATCTCCCAGTTTGTTGATGGATAAAGTTATTTAGAATAAATGTTATATTCCCGGTTTAACATTAGGTTTGAAAATTATATATTCATGAGTTGTCAACGAAAACCTTTTTATTTTCAAATTATTGAAAGAAATCGCCACATGAAAAATCGGTCACAAGAATTACATATGACCGCAAAGCCACACACTCAGACTCAGACTCAGTGACCTAAAAAATCTTGTAAAATATATCAAATCAAACTGTCCCTGGGTTTCAAAGAGTATTTGTATATGAATTTAAAATTCCAAAAGCAATGTGTATGTTTGTATAAATATCATAATCTTAGGGTTATTTGTATGTGTTTAAGAATATTAAACTCCAAAAATTATTTGTATTTGTGGCTAATGTTGCTAGTATATCAGGGTGAAGGTCGTTGTCCAATCCAGCTAACTGTATATATATATATATATATATATATATATATATATATATATATATATATATATATATATATATATATGTATGTATGTATGTATATATGTGTATATATATGTATATATATGTATATATATGTATATATATGTATATATATGTATATATGTATATATATATATATATATATATATATATATATATATATATATATATATATCCCATTGTGTGATTTTTCACAGGGAACAGCATTCGTCATCTCGGAGAAAATACCACCACCTGAAATGGTAGAAAGATACAGTAAGTTTTTCTTTTTTGCGTGGTAACCTTTTAATACGTTGTTTAGTATTAGATTTTGTACCAAAAAAAATGAGGTTGATAAATTAGTTTTTTGTTTCTGTTTGTATTGCAGATGAACTGATGGAAAAGAAGAAGTCGGTATGTAATGAAATGTGTGTGATTGGTGTGGGGGGTATGTGTGAACATGTGTGTGTGTGTGTGTGTGCGCGTGTAAGGTTGTGTGTGTGTTTGTATGGGAGAGGTGAAATTTACGTCAGATCTGTGGTAAATAGTCCACTCTTTGAATATCAAACACATCTACTTAAAAATGCGCCTACTTATATGGCTATAACTATTGAAAAATAGATTCCTCGGGAATCGCCCACATCTTTTTTCATATTCGCCTGAAACTACGAATAAGTACGTACCCTTTCAAACGTGGCGGCCCTCATGTAGATGAAGTAGAGTTCACCAGTTTCTGTGACCCCGGCATATGAAAGGATTGAGTGGTCAGTACTATACCCCAGCCGCCTCTACTTTCCCTAACGTAAATCAGGTACCCAACAAAAGTGAACTACGACCAGAGTTTCTTCCAGGCATCTCTTCGGGGAGGGGGGGGGGGGGGGAAAGTTTACCGCCCCCCCCCCCCCAACGAAATGGAATGTATATAGAAAACATATACTTTTACCAGTGTCCGCCCCCCCCCCCCCCGGAAAATGTTGTCCGCCACCCCCTCCCCCGCAAATATCAAGTGTCTCCCCCCCCCCCCCCTCCCGGAAAAAAAGGTCTGGAAGAAACACTGGCTACGACCATAACGAGAGACCCGAACTCGCGACTTTCTGGCTAGCCGTCGAACGCTCTTCTATCCAACCACACCGTCCCATCGTACAACAAATACATCTACAAAATACACCTGTCTTGTGACTAAAATAAAACAACGAGCAGAAACAAAAGCGAGGAAGTAAACAGACATCACAAGATAGGATACCTACGAGAACCCTGTCCTCCGTCATACCCACGGAAATCCTACAAGCTTTAAACATCACAAGGACAAGGAGGAAATCCTCAGTCAAGGTGGGTTGTTTTTTGTTGTCATTTTTTTTTTACAATATGGCCTTACTATCTTTAAGAGAAAATTACAATAGTGTGAAAAAGTAAATACGATAGCAATGGTGACCGGAAAGATGCGCAACAGAAAACTGCGCAACGGAAATCTACGCAACGGAAAACTGCGCAATGAAAAACTACGCAAAAATGGTGCGCAAAGGGCATTTGTTTTTTTTTAAATAAAGCATTTATAGTCATTAACAAAGAGTGACTGCATGTAAATTGCAACGTAATAAAACATATTTCAACGAAATATGGCAACATTAAAGTGCATTAGTATAATTAGTTTGTATGTGCGCAGTTTTCCTTTGCGCAGTTTTCCGTTGCGCAGTTTTCCATTGTACAGTTTTGTTTAAACCGATAACAAGAATGTGAGGTGGGGGTGAGTCATATTTACTCGTTTTGACCTCGAGAATCTTCTTTACACTTGGTTCCACCCCCGGCTGGGTAAGATGTACTATTCAATGATGTTCACGCGCTTTGCTGATATTAATCGGGAGTGATCTCCCCTAAACTTTCTCGAATATTCTTATATAAAACAACAGGGGATGGGAAATCGGGATATAGTATGATTTTAAACTTTTTAAAATAAAATAGAATCTCATAGAAAAAAGAATTGCTCACCAAGCGAACGCCAAAACAAAATGTGCATAATAGTGCGGAATATTATTAGTACTTGATAAATTTGCATTAGTTTTTTGAGAAATTGGAAATAGCGGTAATTAGTACTTCCGGTCAACGAAAATTACTCAAAATTTGATAGAAGTTAGAGGATTAGATCTTTTACTTACGTGTGAAATTTCATTTATCGGTCTGAAATAGTACTCAAGTTATAGGCTTTTGAAAAATTCAAAGTAGAAAAAGTACCACTTTCGGTTATCGGAAATCGCTCAAAAGTTTATTAGGATCTACGATTTTGATAAAATACTTATATATGAAATTTCATCAACCTAGCTTAAACGGTACTCAAGTTATCGTGTTTACACACACATACACACTCACACACACAGACACACAGACACACAGACATACGGACAAGATTGCAAAATTATGTTTTTCCGTATCAGTGAGGTGTAAAACGTCGAGATTTGTAAAAATCTCGGTTTTTTTTTGCACGATTACAATACTTTTTCTATACTACGTATATACGAGAAAGTAAAAAGAGATGATTCAACTAAAATAAATGACCTGATCTCTTTGTCTAAAACATGATTTGATGCCTTGCATAAAAATGACCTAATGCCTTTATATAAAAAATGACCTGAGCATAAATATTTTTCCCGTTTGTGCCCAAGATACATGGGGCAGATAAAGTAGAGTTCATCTGTTTCAATCATCTCAGCATATGACCAGCCTTTTTTCTTTAACAAGATTCCTTACTTTAAAAAGACATGATACATTACCTGACAAAAGAATGATGATATACCTTAAAAAAATGACCTAATGCTTTGCCTAAAAAAACTACCTGATAACTTTACTAAACGATTTGGGGCCTTACCCTAAAAATGACCAAATGCTTACCCTAAAAATGACCAAATGCCTTACCCTGAAAATGACTAAATGCCTTAACCTAGCGATAAACAAATGCCTAACCTTAGCTATGACCAAATGCTTACCCTAAAAATGACCAAATGCCTTACCCTGAAAATGACCAAATGCCTTAACCTAGCGATAAACAAATGCCTAACCCTAGCTATGACCAAATGCTTACCATAAAATGAACAAATGCCTTACCCTAACGATGACAATGCTACAACAGGACGACGCTGTCAGCTGGAGGGAACAGTTCTTCGCCGCCCCGTGGATCAAGAAAAAAGTGGAGGAATACAACGCCAGGAACGCTCTACTCCAGGCCAAGATGAACGAGAGCCTTTTGGGTGAGTACACCATATATATATATATATATATATATATATATATATATATATATATATATATATATATATATATATATATATATATATATATATATATATATATACATATATTCATTTATACATTTACATATATTATATATGTATATGAATATGTATAGACCTACATATATAATGTACTCTATATTATAAATTGATATCATAATTGAATATACATTTCTATCAGAGGAATCAATGGAGATTCATAAGAAGTCTATGAAAATGGCAGCAAGAGTAAAACTTCCTGGAATATCAGTAAGGTTTTTTTTCCCTTTAACTGTGTTTAAATTTTGAATAAATGGAAAAAACATATTCATAGCTATAATATATTTCATAATTAGTGAATACATTACCTTGCCCCTCTACCGAAGAAAAATGACCGACTGAAACTAATCGTTATTCGTTTTTTTAAACACAGAAAAAATGTTTGTTTTTAAATTTTAGTCATGTTCTTTCTATATTGTTATATTTGAAGATTGATAGCTTATATATTGTATTTTACATAGAATAATACTATGTTAAGATTTTGAAGTTGATGATAGTATAGTATTCAGATATATTAATTATAACAATGTCATGATATAGAGAAGAAATAGGTTGAATCGAGATCGTGGTATATAGAGAAATAACTCCAAGGAGAACTACTCAAAAAATTAATTATAGAGTGAGTTTGTCCGTCCACATAACCAAAGGAAAAATTCTGTCTATGAAATTTTCTCAGTGTTTTTCTGTGAACGTATGTTTGAGTTTCACGCAATTTTTTGCTTGTGTAATTTTTTTCTCTTTGAATTTTTCGTGCGCATAAATCTGTGTGCACATAGATCTACCTCTGTTGGCACATTTTTCTCTGAGTACAAATTTCTGTTTACGTATGTTTCCTGTTTGCAAAATTTCTCTTTGCGCATTTTTTTTATAAGCGCATTTTTCCGCAGCGCATTTTCCTGATCAACGCTTTCTCTGAGTGCAAATCTCAGTTTACGCATTTTTCCTGTGTGCGAAAATTTCTCTTTGCGCTTTTTTTATATGCGCATTTTTCCGCTGCGCATTATCCTGCTCTACGCTTTATATCACTATTTCAATATTTTTTTTGGCCGTTACTAGCCGGAAAAAGATACGCATGCGCAATGGAGAGAAACTACGACTTGCCATCGCGGCGATGTTTACGATGGTACTGCGCATGCGTGTGTTTACAACCGCAGAACCCTAACACCAACCCTAATCCTATTTCTAACCCTATCCCTAATCCTATCCCTAATCCTATTCCTAACCCTTACCCTAGCCCTAGCCCTAATCCTATCCCTAATCCTATCCCTAATCTTATCCCTAATCCTATCCCTAATCCTATCCCTAACACTAACCCTAGCCCTAATCCTATCCCTAATCCTATCCCTAATCTTATCTCTAATACTATCCCTAATCCTATCCCTAATCCTATCCCTAATCCTATCCCTAATCCTATCCCTAATCAAATCCCTAACCCTAGCCCTAATCCTATCCCTAATCCTAACTCTAGCCCTAACCCTAGCCATAGGTCATTGCGCATGCGCAGAGCTATCTTTAACCGACTAAGTGGAGACGTTGGGGAGAAAAATCTTCTTCCAAGTAGTCACTTCGTTGTTTTTTTTTAGCTACCCGAGCCGTTTGAGGTGCCCCAAACAGGACTGAAGACACGCATGTCTGAAGACAGCGTCAGTCGCTCCGTGTCCTTCCAGGTCGAGAACCCACTGGACCCACGTCGGCGCTCGACCTTATCCGGGTAACTTTGACCTTATAACCTTGACCTCTATGTTCTAAAAAAAGATACCTTTCGTAGTGTACCATAGCCTTTGCAGCAAGACAATGACTTTGTATGCTTGCTTTGAATGTTGTGATCGCGATATCGTGGCATCTATGTGAGCACGAAAGGTGAACTTTCAATCATACATAAGGTGGAATAGATAAAAAAGATACTATTGATTCAGTGTGATTGCCTTTGATTATATAATATCATTATATATTAAATTAAGATCCGGGTAATTTTGATCTTTACAGTAACACGACCTTAACATTCAAAATTGTACATACTCTTGGGTAACTGTGTGTAAATGCATAAATTCATACATACTGATTAATATATATATATATATATATATATATATATATATATATATATATATATATATATATATATATATTAAATTATCTAAATGTATTTCTTGATATAAAATGCTGCTCGCTATTCCAGGAAAGGCGGCCCGTCAAAGAGTTCATCAAAGAATTTTATTGTGGGGTCTCACCTGGACTTTAGCGACACAGGTGAGCTTTATAACACGGGTCTGGAATGGCAGGTGTCTAGTTTAGGAACTTGGAGAGACTCACGAAAGACAGGTGCCAAAAGGCATTGGCCTGCTGATTCCTAAATGTCCCACTCAGACAGAGGCGTAGCGAGGGGGTTGGCGGGGGGACATATGTCCCCGGGCGCCGACCTTAGGGGGGCGCCAAATTGAAAGTTTGAGGGGGGTGCAAATGAAAAGTTAGAGAGGGGGGGGTGCAAATCGAAAGTTTCAGGGGGGGGGGGGGTGCAAATGAAAAGTTCGAGGGGGGTGCAAATCGAAAGTTTGAGGGGGGGGGGGGGTGCAAATGAAAAGTTCGAGGGGGGGGGGGGCGCAATTCGAAAGTTTGTCCCCGGGCGCCGGGAGGGGTCGCTACGCCTCTGCACTCACCTTTGTGACGTCTTATTCTTCCGTAGATAGACTTCAATGTGAATCCGATTAGTGGAGGGGTTGTGTGGTTGGTTTAGTGGAGGGGTTGTGTGGTTGGTTTAGTGGAGGGGTTGTGTGGTTGGTTTAGTGGAGGGGTTGTGTGGTTGGTTTAGTGGAGGGGTTGTGTGGTTGGTTTATTGGAGGGGTTGTGTGGTTGGTTTAGTGGAGGGGTTGTGTGGTTGGTTTACCTGAGTGGTTGTGTGGTTGGTTTATTGGAGGGGTTGTGTGGTTGGTTAAGTTGAGGGGTTGTGTGGTTGGTTTAGTGGAGGGGTTGTGTGGTTGGTTTAGTGGAGGGGTTGTGTGGTTGGTTGTGTGGTTCGTTTAGTGGAGGTGTTGTGTGGTTCGTTTAGTGTAAGTATAAAATTTGTTGATGTAAAAATTGCTTGATGTAAAGTTTATGTAAAGTTTTTTTATTTATTTTTTTTTTATGTAAAGTTTGTTGAGTTTTTGATGTAAAGTTTGTTGATGTTTGCAGTGAGTAAAATCCTCACCTGCCAAGATGACGACGGTGAAGAAGTCGAGAACAAGCAGGACAAAGAAGAACAGCGCCACTCAGAGTATGTGAATGTCCACATCACACATTGTATTGCTGCTTGCCACTTTTTTTTCTATCTGGGTATATAATGGGAGGACAGTGTGGTCGGCACTAACTCTTTGGTTCTTCTCACAACATCAGCTAACTAAAGGGAACTATCTCTTTAGTATCAGTTTACTAAAGGGAACTAACTCTTAGTGTCAACTTACTAAAAGGCACTAACTCTTTAGGATCAGCTTACTAAAGGGCACTAACTCTTTGATTATTCTCACGACATCAGCTAACTAAAGGGCACTATCTCTTTAGTATCAGTTTACTAAAGGGAACTAACTCTTAGTGTCAATTTACTAAAGGGAACTAACTCTTAGTGTCAACTTACTAAAGGGCACTAACTCTTTAGCATCAGCTTACTAAAGGACACTAACTCTTTGATTCTTCTCTCGATATCAGTTTACTAAAGGGCACTAACTCTTTGATTCTTCTCTCGGCATCAGTTTACTAAAGGGCACTAACTCTTTGATTCTTCTCTCGATATCAGTTTACTAAAGGACACTAACTCTTTGATTCTTCTCTCGATATCAGTTTACTAAAGGGCACTAACTCTTTGATTCTTCTCTCGATATCAGTTTACTAAAGGGCACTAACTCTTTGATTCTTCTCTCGGCATCAGTTTACTAAAGGGCACTAACTCTTTGATTCTTCTCTCGGCATCAGTTTACTAAAGGGCACTAACTCTTTGATTCTTCTCTCGATATCAGTTTACTAAAGGGCACTAACTCTTTGATTCTTCTCTCGATATCAGTTTACTAAAGGGCACTAACTCTTTGATTCTTCTCTCGATATCAGTTTACTAAAGGGCACTAACTCTTTGATTCTTCTCTCGATATCAGTTTACTAAAGGACACTAACTCTTTGATTCTTCTCTCGATATCAGTTTACTAAAGGGCACTAACTCTTTGATTCTTCTCTCGATATCAGTTTACTAAAGGGCAGTAACTTTTTGATTCTTCTCTCGGCATCAGTTTACTAAAGGGCACTAACTCTTTGATTCTTCTCTCGGCATCAGTTTACTAAAGGGCACTAACTCTTTGATTCTTCTCTCGATATCAGTTTACTAAAGGGCACTAACTCTTTGATTCTTCTCTCGATATCAGTTTACTAAAGGGCACTAACTCTTTGATTCTTCTCTCGGCATCAGTTTACTAAAGGGCACTAACTCTTTGATTCTTCTCTCGATATCAGTTTACTAAAGGGCACTAACTCTTTGATTCTTCTCTCGATATCAGTTTACTAAAGGGCACTAACTCTTTGATTCTTCTCTCGATATCAGTTTACTTAAAGGACACTAACTCTTTGATTCTTCTCTCGGCATCAGTTTACTAAAGGGCACTAACTCTTTGATTCTTCTCTCGATATCAGTTTACTAAAGGACACTAACTCTTTGATTCTTCTCTCGGCATCAGTTTACTAAAGGGCACTAACTCTTTGATTCTTCTCTCGATATCAGTTTACTAAAGGACACTAACTCTTTGATTCTTCTCTCGGCATCAGTTTACTAAAGGGCACTAACTCTTTGATTCTTCTCTCGATATCAGTTTACTAAAGGACACTAACTCTTTGATTCTTCTCTCGGCATCAGTTTACTAAAGGGCACTAACTCTTTGATTCTTCTCTCGATATCAGTTTACTAAAGGGCACTAACTCTTTGATTCTTCTCTCGGCATCAGTTTACTAAAGGACACTAACTCTTTGATTCTTCTCTCGATATCAGTTTACTAAAGGGCACTAACTCTTTGATTCTTCTCTCGATATCAGTTTACTAAAGGGCACTAACTCTTTGATTCTTCTCTCGATATCAGTTTACTAAAGGGCACTAACTCTTTGATTCTTCTCTCGGCATCAGTTTACTAAAGGGCACTAACTCTTTGATTCTTCTCTCGATATCAGTTTACTAAAGGGCACTAACTCTTTGATTATTCTCTCGATATCAGTTTACTAAAGGGCACTAACTCTTTGATTCTTCTCTCGATATCAGTTTACTAAAGGGCACTAACTCTTTGATTCTTCTCTCGATATCAGTTTACTAAAGGGCACTAACTCTTTGATTCTTCTCTCGATATCAGTTTACTAAAGGGCACTAACTCTTTGATTCTTCTCTCGATATCAGTTTACTAAAGGGCACTAACTCTTTGATTCTTCTCTCGATATCAGTTTACTAAAGGGCACTAACTCTTTGATTCTTCTCTCGATATCAGTTTACTAAAGGGCACTAACTCTTTGATTCTTCTCTCGGCATCAGTTTACTAAAGGGCACTAACTCTTTGATTCTTCTCTCGATATCAGTTTACTAAAGGGCACTAACTCTTTGATTCTTCTCTCGATATCAGTTTACTAAAGGGCACTAACTCTTTGATTCTTCTCTCGATATCAGTTTACTAAAGGGCACTAACTCTTTGATTCTTCTCTCGATATCAGTTTACTAAAGGGCACTAACTCTTTGATTCTTCTCTCGATATCAGTTTACTAAAGGGCACTAACTCTTTGATTCTTCTCTCGATATCAGTTTACTAAAGGGCACTAACTCTTTGATTCTTCTCTCGATATCAGTTTACTAAAGGGCACTAACTCTTTGATTCTTCTCTCGATATCAGTTTACTAAAGGGCACTAACTCTTTGATTCTTCTCTCGATATCAGTTTACTAAAGGGCACTAACTCTTTGATTCTTCTCTCGATATCAGTTTACTAAAGGGCACTAACTCTTTGATTCTTCTCTCGATATCAGTTTACTAAAGAACCCAAGCACTTTTATTCATCTCTCGATATCCCCTCAAGGGCGCTAACTCTTTAACTCTACACTCTATAGCCTGTCATGGGCGCTAACTCCTTAACTCTTATCTCCTCAGTGAGAGCATCGTTAGCAGTGCCCCCCAGCAGCCAGTTCATCAGACCTACACAGGGTATGTATTACGTCATCAACCAGGGGCGTAGCTTCATGGTAGAGCTCTGATACAGCACCCCCTCCCCCTTCCTCTCTTCCCACCTATCTCCCTTAATCAATTCCGAGTTATCTAAATGTTTTTCTTTTAAAAAATGAATGACACTGCTTAGGTAGAGGCGCAGTGAGATGAAGGCGGGTAGGGCGGCCGCACTGGGTGCCAACCATACGGGGGCTCCAACCCTAAAGGGGCGCCAAAAGGGGGGAAAACAATATAATAAGCTGGTTTTAAGCTGAATTACTTATGTATCCACAGTCGAGGTTTAACAAAAAATAAACAGCTACTTGCCTTCATGGACTTTAAATACTGTTCTATATATCAAATGTGGGACACCATAATCAAAAGGGGAAAGTGACTGGTAAAAAGCGCTTGAACCTTTTTTTTTTTTTTTTTTTTTTACTAGCGCTATATTGAAGCAAAATTGTTCAGGGCGATAGATATCAACTTGAAGGCCGGTTAAACACGGTTGTTGTTGTTTTTTTTTTACTTTACCTAAGTAAGCTATAATATACTTAGTAAACACACGATTAGTTTAGAGTTTATGTAGCTGCCTTAATAAGCCAAATGAATCAATTATTAGTTAATTTAGCCATTAGACAGAAGTTAATTCAACCGTCAGACTTAGCGGTTAATTCAGCTTTTAGACTTCGTGGAAAATTGGAACATTAGACAATAGTTCATTGGGCCATTTGACTTAGTAATTGATAGTGCCTTTAGACTTAGTAATTGATAGGGCCTTTAGACTTTTTTTTCTAGTTAATAAAGCCATTAGACTTAGTCATATTTTCATTGAACTTCTAGACTAAGTCTCTAGCTATTTGAGCAACAGACTGAGTTATCAATTTCCTGAGACTTAGTAACTAGTTAATCTTAGCCATTAGACTTTGTTAGTAGCCTAGTTAACTAAGTCAATATACTTTGTCGCTACCATATGGGCAAAAGATTTACTTACTTACAACCCAACGAAACAACAGTGACTAAAACTCCAATTCAGGCAGCTAACCAAAGCATCATATCCCATTCTTTACGGGACCGTACAGCTTTCTGTCTATGAGAACACCTCCTAATGTGCACATCATGTGTGTGCAGAGGCGTAGCGAGGGGGGGTGCGGACCGCACCTGGTGACACCATTTAGGGGGGTGAGACCAAGGCAAAAAATAGCAAAATATATAGAGAAAAACTTGAGGGGGGGGTGCAAATCGAAAGTTTTAGGGGGGGGGGGGTGCAATCGGAAACTTGAGGGGGGGTGTGCAAATCGGAAACTTGAGGGGGGGGGGGGGGTGCACATCGAAAGTTTGAGTGGGGGTGCAAATCCAAAAATTTGAAAGTTTGTCCCCAGGAAGGGTCGCTACGCCTCTGGGGGGTGACACCATTAAGTGCAGCACCGGGTGACACCCAACCTAGCTACGCCACTGTGTGTGTGTTGAAGTTAACCATCATTTGTTCGGTGGGGTCGGCGTGGTCAAATGGTAGAGCTTACGACTGCTAACCTGGATCCCGGGCTCGAGGACGCCTCTGAGTCCACTCAGCTCTGGTGGGTACCTGACTCACGTTTGTGAAAAAACGGCGGCTGGACATAGCGCTGACCAACCACACCCTCGAATTAAAACATATGAACTCTATTTCCTCTGTCTGTGTGTCTTGGGCATGAAAGTGAATACAGGATAAAGTATTATTCTGTACTTTGTTAAGATCATTTGTTATATAAATAACCATTCTACTTTTGATCAATGTTTAAGACCAATTGAATACTCGCAATGGAAACTGATCAAAAGACTGGTCAAGGGAGACTATATTGTAATTATAAATTATTTTTATTAACGCCCTTTTGTAGAAAAATTATTTGTTTTTAAAAGATGTTTATTTTAAAAATTATTTAAATATTTTTACAATACTTGTTCTTTCAAGCGTCTATTTACATTTATCAGTGATAAAATGTATGTTTAATATAATCTCTTAATAAAGACTTCTTTTCTAAGAATAAGAATAACCTGTTAGTGTGTGTTATGATATTGTCAGGGACATGAGTGGCTAGACTTTAACAACGGAGTCTACGAACCTCCCAAAGAGGACTGGTCAATAGTAAGTTTATTCGTTTGTTTGTTTATCCGTAGTTTGGTTCTTGGAATTTAGTTAAGGGATTTCAATCTTATGTTGCAATAATTTTTTTAGATAAATCTGTTAAACACGTATAGCTAAAGACACATACTAATACCTAAATTGTATATGAACTTATATATAAATTATATTTCTTTTGCGTGTGTGGAGGGCGGTGCCCTTTCCTGAGATGTCTGAAAAAAACTTTGCTCTTGTCTTTCTGTCGCTTTTTAACTATATATATATATATATATATATATATATATATATATATATATATATATATATATATATATATATATATATATATATATTTATATATATATATGTCTGTACAATCGCAGGTCAGTGAGGGCTGCGAGATGATTATGATTAAGAAAGAATTTTTACTGAAATACTTACGAAGAGACTGGTAGTCGGTCGTGTAACATATCATCAGAAACTCAACCAACTCAACTCATCAGACCGGCCGTCATCGACCATAGTTCATTTGATATAATTTTGTTTACATTTTTTGATACTTGTGTATTTTTATAATTATTTTTACAATAGACATTTTCTTACTGTTTTACATTTATTTTTATTTTAAGACTATAAAAAATGAGTATCTTACTTATATATATATTTACCTAGTCTATATGCTTGTTTGACTAAAATATTTATTTCCTACATAATAGATCTTGATACATTCCTGAGACAGTGTAAACTTGCTAATGACAAAATCCAACTCTATTTGATATGGTTGAAATTTTTTAAAAAAAGAGCTTTTGGGTAATTAGGTGATAGTACTCACACTTTGTGAAGCTTCAGAAACTTGCTGTTAGTGGCGGCTTACACTAGTTCACTGACAGCTGACGTGGGCTCATTAGTGACATCAGTGACACGAGCTTACTGTGACATCACTGACATGAGCTCACTGTGACGTTACTGACACGAGCTCACTGTGACGTCACTGACATGAGCTCACGGCGACATCACTGACACAAGCTCAGCGTGACGTCACTGACAACTGACACGAACTCACTGTGACGTCACGACGTCACTCACATGCGCTCACTGTGACGTCACTGACAACGGACACGGGCTCACTGTGACGTCACTGACACGGGCTCGTTGTGACGTCACTGACACGAACTCACTATGACGTCACTGACAGCTGGCTCGAGCTTACGGTGACGTCACAGGAAATCACACCAGGCTGTAATGTTGTGGCGAGACGTGGCACAAACTTCAGAACCGCCTACTGCTAGAACTGCTGGAACTCTCACACAGCTGAGTGACTCCTCACGCTCTTTACATATACAATGTGATCGTTCAACCCAATTTACAATCATTTACAAACAGATACGACATTGTTTAATGCATGATGTGTCCTAATCAAATACCCATGTTAGAATGTCAGTTATAGAAAGTAAGAACTGTTCGTAATGTATTGAAACTAGACATAAATAAATATATTGCAAAAAAAAGTGATGTGTTGTGTTTATACTTATATCGTTTTTGACTTTTGATTGTTTCCTCGGTGACAGAGGCGTAACGAAGGGGGGGCAGGGGGGTACATATGTCCCCGGGCGCCGACCTTATGGGGCGCCAAAATGGGTTGAAAAAAAACAAATTTAAATCTCATTTTAGGTGCAGTTTAGCATTATAAATATAAAAAAAATATATGAGGGGGGGTGCAAATAGACAGTGAGGGGGGGATGCAAATTGAAAATTGAAGGTTTGTTTCCGGGGGGGGGGGGGGGCGCCAAATTGAAAGTTTGTCCCCGGGCGCAGGGAAGGGTCGCTACGCCTCTGCTCGGTGAAATAACTTTTTTAATAAATGGTGAAAAAAAATCTATTTAATATATTTTTTCAATAAAATTAGAATTATGTTGAGAATAAACACGGAAGATAAAGAAATAGTAATTATTTTACTCGTTATTTTAATTTAATTTTAATATTAGTAAACTATTTTGTTAAAGGAAAACTAATATTTGAAAACTTGTTTTTAGATGGTAAACTTATTAAAGGCATTGCAATTCTTTTCATTTACAGTAATTTACGCTTGTGCGTGTAATCGGTCTTCTAGTGCTAGTATGTTCATGTGTAGACTAAATTACTAATGTGTGTAGGAGCCTTACTAGTAATATGTTGGACGTATAGGCAAATTTGCTTATTTATTTATGTATTTAGGCTAACTCAAGTGTATACGCCAACATGTTAATGTACATGAACCTCCCTGAAACAAATCGATTAACAACAAACACCTCTTCTTGATTACACGCATTAACATTGCGACCTTATTCATGGGGTAATGCGGTGTTTTGTTTGGGTAGAGCACAGTGTTTACATCTGTTCGGGAATTCCCTCCCGGTCCTACATAATCACAGGGAATTCCCGATCTTATGCGATCACGAGTGGGTCGTATCATGTGACATTCATGCAAAATGGCGGATTTGTTTACTGCTTGCTGCACTTGTTGAGACGTCTGACCTTATTTTTAAAATCATTCCATAACTAAAAACTGTCTATTATTTAAGGATTAATATATTGAATCGATAATACTCAGGTAAGATTATACAATTTTTAAAGTTAGCCTTCTCACGTATTCGATTTTATTTAGCATGAGCAACTTATTTAATATTTTATTTAGGCCTATAGCCCTATGCCCTATCCCAGTGGCGTAGCGAGGTCGGGTGTCACCCGGTGCGGCACTTAATGGTGTCACCCCCCCAGAGGCATAGAGACCCTTCCCAGGGATAAACTTTCAAATTTTCGATTTGCACCCCCCCCTCAAACTTTTGATTTGCACCCCCCCCCTCGAGTTTTCGATTTGCACCCCCCCTCAAACTTTCGATTTGCACCCCCCCCCTCGAGTTTTTCTCTATATATTTTGCTATTTCTTGCCTTGGTGTCACCCCCCTAAATGGTGTCACCCGGTGCGGTCCGCACCCCCCGCCCCCCCCCTCGCTACGCCCCTGCCCTATCCTATAGCCCTATAGGCATAGGGCCTATACTATAATAATCTATATAAAAATATTTATTTAATCTAGATCTAGATCTAGATAGATAATCTAGTATTTATCATAATGATTCATAATCATTTATAATAAATTTTATATTATAACTGACTCTCTTAACTGCTAACTGTTAACTGAGGCTTCGGAAGTGTAGAAGTACATTTAAGTACACTAGGTCTAGAATCTAGATTAAAAAATACTAAAATAAGCAGATGATCAATTGTGTGGTTGTTGAACCAAAACTAATAAAACTTGACTTGTAGAGTAGACTAGATCTAGGGCTAGGGTCTAGAACTATCTAGCTGATCAGAATGCTCCAGTGTAGATTGTAGACCTATTTACAGTATTTAGTATAGTAAGCAGTATAGTTTAAACATGGTTAAAATTAGTTTTAATAGGGCGTACTATTCCTACACTTTTACTAAAAAGTAAACAATAGTATTAGGCCTATACTATAAATGTTTAGTAATAAAGTGTATAGTAAGATTAGTAACATTATTGTCATAGTAGTTAGTGTATAATACTGTAGGATAGGGCTAGTGATGTTTATTTATTAGAGGTTAAAGGTATATAAAAATATATAGATTATAGGCCCAGATCTATGTCTATACTAAAGTGCATGTCAATTATCCAAGTAGAAATGTTAGTGAGTGAAGTCCCTCAAAGCTTTAAGTAACTGTAGTTTCACTAGTAAGGCTACCAGTGGCGTAGGCAGGGGGGGGGGGCTAGGGGGGGTCATACCCCCATAGACCCCTCGGTATATATATAAAAAGTATGAGGGGGGATGCAAATCGAAAGTTTGAGGGGGGATGCAAATCGAAAGTTTGTCCCCGGGTAAGAATTGGACCCCCCCCCCCCCCCCCGTTGAGACGATCCTGGCTACGCCACTGAAGGCTACTCAAAGCAACCTGCTGCTCATACTAAATAATAACTTTTACAACCAGCAACAACTTATAGGCCTACATATACGGGGGAGATGGGGGGGGGGAGAGATAGAACTAGGCCTACCAGATGTTCACAAATGTTTTGTTATTATGTAAAAAAAAACAACATTATATTCGATATAATTTAAGTTGTATGCTTTTGATGTAAGCCAAATACATACTTGGACCACCCCCCCTCCACACACACACACCAGTGTACAGTTATGTAGGCCTATATTTAATTGGCCTCCCCCTTCACCCGCTCCCCCCCCCCCCCACACAGCCCCAAACAAAATTAGAAAGACTTGATTTGTCCATGAGCATAGGCTATATACATAGGGGTCATCCATTATGACGTCCACACGCGTGAGGGGGGGGGGGGGGTCCGAAAAAAACTGACTTTTGTGGACGCATATAGACTTGTATAAGGAAAAAAGTGGATTTTTGTGGAAAGGGGAGAGGGTCCAAAGTCCTAAAAATTGTGGACGTCATAAATGGATGACCCCCATATAATACATGCTGAGTCCCGATATATACAGAGTTAGCTCCACGAGTGAGTGAATGATCCAGGCTAGGAGCATATGCCTATAGGGCTGTGGTATCGAAATGATCGATACTTACTACACGATCATGCACGTATAATGAAAAGTCGGGTTAACCCACAAGACACAAACTAAACATGGACGCTTTGTGTAGTGGTAAACTGTAAAGTACACACGAATCGATTTTTAAGCAAGGGGGAAGTCATTTTAGGTAAAAATCTGGACCCTACACTTACCTGTAACACAAAGATACAAACTTCTTCCTGCTTTTCCTGTTATTATTAGACATCCTCTACTAAATTTTCTTCCCCCTACCCTCCACCCCCCACCACCACCCCACCACACCCCACACATTCCCCACCCCCCCCCCCCCCCCCCACACACACACACATCCCCCCTCCACCCCCCCCCCCCCACCTACCCCCTCCACCCCCCACACCCATATACATATACAATAGCCCTACTGCAGCATCGTTCCAGTTTTATAAACAGGTTTTGCCGTTACAATTGGGGTCAGAGTTCATTTGCTTGAGCTAGGTACACGGTGAGGGTTAGGGTAGCAGTGGTTACTGTTCACGTTTAGGGTCCCGATCAGGGTAAAAGGCTACATGTAGCAGGCAAAAGATACGCTACATGTAGCAGGCAAAAGATACGCTACATGTAGCAAATAATAAGCTACATGTAGCACGTAAAACAGCTTTGATACGCCCTACCAAAAGCTTACCGTAGCATGCTGATAACCACGCGTGCTTGCACAATGTTAGGCCTTCAAAAACTAGACCCTAGAACCATGGTTGTTTTAATTTTGTTTTTTTTTTCTTAAGTCCCATTATCTGTGGATTTGTCAAATCTTGTAACCCAATTTGAACCCGTTTCTAACAGTTATTTTCGTACATAAATCCATTTTCGACAACATGCCACGATTATCTAATTTTAACTCAAATTTGACATTACATAATGATACCAAACTTTAAACCTTTACAACTAAGCGCTAAATATAGCTTTAAAAATCTTTTTGAACTCATTTTTAGGGAATTTCCGTAAATAATGTCACATCCCTAATGGGGAGACAGTGGGTTTTGATGTTTATTATAATTGGTCTCGTCAAATTAAAGTTCCTCTTTTAGACCTGTCGATTCACAGGGCAGATGCAGTTTCTTGACCTCGGCGTATGAATGGATGGTGTGGTCAGCATTATGTCCAGTCGCCTTTTATTTCCCTGCCATGAATCAAGGTACCATCTAGAGCTGGGTGGACTCGGGAATGTCCTGCAGTCCATATTCCAGATCGAGATCCGAACTCGAAACTTTCAGCAGCCCAATAATCTACCATTCGACATCTGCGTCGCAAAACTAAATGTTAGCTGGTATATTTTTTTAAAATTATTTCATAGAAGTTAAAATAATAAAAAATAACGTGTAGATTTTCTTTAGAATTTAAGGGGTGGGGGGGGGGGGGGGAGGTTGTAAAGTTGATGTCATATTAAACCTGTACGGAGTGAGGACGTAAAAAATGGACAAAATCTTTTAAATAATGTCACGTTGTATACAAACCATCACTGCTATAAGGACACGGAATATTATCGAATATACAAGGAATCTAATAGAGGGATTTCCAAAGACAACGGACAGAGAGTAATTGAAAAAGACACGAAAATTATTTTATGAGATGTGAAAAAAAGGGGAAGAAATTAAAGGACAGAAAAGCATTTACAGTTGTTGTAAATAGAGTTGGAAAAAACAAAGAAGATGATGGAAGATTTTTATAATGAAAACTTTCTTTTTCTTTCTGTTATGTACATGTGTTAATTAATAGCAAATCCCAATCTGAAGGTATAGAGAAAAACTCCCACGGGAGGTCTCATTAATTTGCCGCTACTCATTAATTTGCCGCTACTCATTAATTTGCCGCTACTCATTAATTTGCCGCTACTCATTAATTTACTGCTACTCATTAATTTGCTGCTACTCATTAATTTGCTGCTACTCATTAATTTGCTGCTACTCATTAATTTGCTGCTACTCATTAATTTGCAGCTATGACAGACATTGTTATTGACGTGGGTTCTTCGTTCTTACTTTTTCTTCTTCTTTGTTCTTAATTGATGTGGGTGACCTTGACAATGTATAGCTGAGACTATTCAGTTCTTTTTCTTCCCACCTCCCCCACCCCACCCACACTAACATCTAAATTTTGTTTTGTTTTTTTTTATTTTAAAGTATTCCCGATCGGGGCGAACTTCCTCTCGTAAAGCCCTATGCCTATTTTAACCCTCGCTTCTAAGCTACCTTCTAATTTAAACCTCAGTGTAATCCACTTGATGTTTTGATTCAATATATTTTTATCTCATTTACCGACTGTTCAAGTGTTCTACAATCATCTTCTCGTCACGGCTATATTTAGCATCTCAAAACAAAACAATTAGCCGATGCGGATGTCTGAGTGGTCTCAACTAGAGATATCCTCGCCACTCTAAAAACCTAATCCAACGTCTTGTGCCTCAAGCCTCAAAGCCTGTGCGCCAACGCAGTTTGTTTACTAGGATTATAAATGATGTTTTATGGTTTAACGTTTTGGTCAGAATTCAGTTTATTAATGATTGTTTTGTAGTAGTTTTTTTAGAATAGAATTTTCAGCGTTGAAGCCTAAAGTAACGTGGTTCTAATTTTTAAGATGGTTCCTTATTTAGTTATATTGGTGTCTTTTTATATTTAACTTTTCGATATTCCTTTTTTATTATATCGGTTAGAAGCATCACATTGCACGTATCGTTTTATTCTTTACTAACTGACCCGCGCCGTAAGCATACGCCTGTATTGAGTTGTTTATTTTCTACTTTTCAGTAATTCATAATTTGTGAATTTGACACTACTATCGGTAGCTCGTGAAGGACGATTATCCTCATCCCCCCCCCCACCCCTGATAGCTACTCTATCAAAATAAAACCATCTTCCTTATCGACACTGTTTCCTATTCCTTATATATACTCGTCTAAGTAAGTAAACATTATAGAGTTAGATGATATTAAGAGATGCTTTGGTGAGTTCTTTGCCCAGCCGCCTTTACTTTCCCGAATTTAATTCCGGTATACATTAGGGCTGAGTGGACTCAGGGACGTCTTACAAACTCGAGCCTTAGATTCGAACTTGAGCCGTTTCGCTCGCACTACAACACCCGGCCACACTGTCTCATATCCATACACTCTCGTGTTTATAATATGCTTGTACTTCAAGGCTTGTTTGGAAAAGCTCATTATATATATAAAAAAAATAAAGCCTACGTTTGAGTATGTATGCAGATCTTTAACGATTTATGCTAAATTAATGCATGGCTCATCCGCAACCAGCATTGATCTTTTTTAATATAGTAAAATTAATGTACATACGAAAGTCTGGCTTAGCCTCGTTAAGGCTACAATAGTCGTGTTTTTTTAACATTGTTTTTGACGTCTAGTAACTTTTATTAGTATTTGAAGGACAGTTTACTAGGCTAATAGAAATATGTTTACGACTATGTAGGTTAGAGGTTTCATTGAGAGATTTTACAGTCGTTATATTTAATCGTTTGTATTGTTGTTATTTTTGCACGGATAATGAAAAAGTACCTAACAATTCAGCTGAGTTGTATAGCTTATAGAAAGGTACCTAACAATTCAACCTAATTGTATAGCTAATAGAGAAGTACCTAACAAATCAACACAGGTGTATGGCTATTGTAAAGGTAGCTAACAATCCAAACCTGTGGATGGTTAATGGAAAAATACCTAAGAATTCAGCCTATTAGAACGGTTCTTGGAAAACAACCTAACAATGCAACACACACCTTAACAATAGCAGCCAACACGACTGTACAAGTCCCTACATAATGTAGTTTAGATTCGTGCTTGCTTCACTAACAAACGCGACTATGTAAGTCCCTACATAATGTAGTTTAGATTCGTGCTTGCTTCACTAACAAACACGACTGTACAAGTCCCTACATAATGTAGTTTAGATTCGTGCTTGCTTCACTAACAAACACGACTGTACAAGTCCCTACATAATGTAGTTTAGATTCGTGCTTGCTTCACTAACAAACACGACTGTACAAGTCCCTACATAATGTAGTTTAGATTCGTGCTTGTTTAACTAACAAACACGACTGTAAGTCCCTACATAATGTAGTTTAGATTCGTGCTTGCTTCACTAACAAACACGATTGTACAAGTCCCTACATAATGTAGTTTAGATTCGTGCTTGTTTAACTAACAAACACATCAGTATAAGTCCCTACATAATGTAGTTTAGATTCGTGCTTGCTTCACTAACAAACACATCAGTATAAGTCCCTACATAATGTAGTTTAGATTCGTGCTTGCTTCACTAACAAACACGACTGTAAGTCACTACATAATGTAGTTTAGATTCGTGCTTGCTACACTTAACAAACACATCAGTATAAGTCCCTACATAATGTAGTTTAGATTCGTGCTTAACACACTAACAAACACGACTGTGTAAATCCCTACATAATGTAGTTTAGATTCGTGCTTGTTTCACTAACAAAAAACATCAGTATAAGTCCCTACATAATGTAGTTTAGATTCGTGCTAACTACACTAACAAAAAGATTAGTATAAGTCCCTACATAATGTAGTTTAGATTCGTGCTTGCTACACAAACAAACACGACTGTAAGTCCCTACATAATGTAGTTTAGATTCGTGCTTGCTTCACTAACAAACACGACTCTAAGTCCCTACATAATGTAGTTTAGATTCGTGCTTGCTTCACTAACAAACACGACTGTAAGTCCCTACATAATGTAGTTTAGATTCGTGCTTGCTTCACTAACAAACACGACTGTAAGTCCCTACATAATGTAGTTTAGATTCGTGCTTGCTTCACTAACAAACACGACTCTAAGTCCCTACATAATGTAGTTTAGATTCGTGCTTGCTTCACTAACAAACACGACTGTAAGTCCCTACATAATGTAGTGTAGATTCGTGCTTGCTTCACTAACAAACACGACTGTAAGTCCCTACATAATGTAGTTTAGATTCGTGCTTGCTTCACTAACAAACACGACTCTAAGTCCCTACATAATGTAGTTTAGATTCGTGCTTGCTTCACTAACAAACACGACTGTAAGTCCCTACATAATGTAGTGTAGATTCGTGCTTGCTTCACTAACAAACACGACTGTAAGTCCCTACATAATGTAGTTTAGATTCGTGCTTGCTTCACTAACAAACACGACTCTAAGTCCCTACATAATGTAGTTTAGATTCGTGCTTGCTTCACTAACAAACACGACTCTAAGTCCCTACATAATGTAGTTTAGATTCGTGCTTGCTTCACTAACAAACACGACTCTAAGTCCCTACATAATGTAGTTTAGATTCGTGCTTGCTTCACTAACAAACACGACTCTAAGTCCCTACATAATGTAGTTTAGATTCGTGCTTGCTTCACTAACAAACACAACTGTACACAACACTGTTAAGGTTTCATGTGTATGTCACAACACGTAATGAGGTCAGGATCATTAGCATAAAATTCAAACCGTGATTAACAAGGCCAGATAATTGACAGTGTGGGTGTCAACACGCTTGTTAATTAAGACAATGAAGGACCATCGAGGTCACATGACAGGTTTTACTGACCACCAAAAAGTGGGCGTTTGGGGGATGGAAGGGGGGGGGTAGGTTGTGTTTTTATGGTTTCAATTGTTTGACTCATGGGGGAATGCTTTGAAATGGTTTGTGGTTTTGTTATTGATTCCAAACTGTATTATTACATTACAAATGGGCTATTATCCACTATGAATTTTCATCAATTGATGGGTTAATGACCGTGGGTGGTTCGTATCCGTAATAATTCTTATCATCCTTTGGGTTCTTATCCGTTGATATCCATTGATATTCTTTCCCATTGTTGCGTTCTTAATAACGTATCCATAATACGTGTTTATCCATGTTTAGTTGTTATCCATTGGTACTAATCATCATATTCGTTTTACTTACTTACTTACTTAATCCTCATCACTCCCTGTGGAGTAGAGGGCAGTAACAAATCTCCGCCATTCCACTCTGTCTTGGGCGAGTAGTAGGTTTTAAAGATAACAAGACCCATTGAGGGATAGGTATATTAGGTTTAAGAGGTTTTCTGTTAGAGATTTTTACGCTTTCTTAGCCTAAGGGTGTGGTAAGAATTAAGGTTAGCCTGATTATGAGTTTGTTAATTTCCTAAAAGGATGTTTTCAATGACCTCACACATTTTACATGCGTGAGTTCCGGGGTAGCACTCAAACGCGCTACCATTCGACCAACCAAAAAAGTAAAAACAAACCCAGTAAAAGTAAGTTCCCTTTTCAAATCTGACGGTCTATAGGGCACGTGAAGAAGAGTTCACGAGATTCTGTTACCTTAACATTATGTCCAGCCGCCTTTATTTTCCCTAACGTACCCATCAGATTTGATCCCGGATTCGAACTTGAGACTTACGGGTTAGCAGTCCAGCTCTCTACCGCTAGACCACTCCGTCCCCTTTGAGACAAGTAATGGAATATACACATAGGCCTATACATGAGTATTGCTCATTAGGAAAAAAATGGGGAGTCCCTAGCGAAGTGGGGGACCCTAAGCTATAGCTCTCTTGACATACATAAATCCAGCACTACCACTGGCCATATTCTGTATCTTGGAGTTCATAAACTGCAGGTTTAAACTACGAGCAAGCAATTTTTTAGGTTTTACCAAAAACAGTACTAGAATTTAATCCTATGATAGAAATGTACTTCGTATAAACAAGCTAGTAGGCGTTACATTTTATTACAGTTTACACAATAAGTTATTACTCAACTGTGTGCAGAGTTTCTTCCAGGCATCATGTCTACCGCCCCCCCCCCCCCCCCGCCACCCCAGAACGAAAAGAAATTTATATAGAAAATATATACTTTTAACAGTGTCCGCCCCTCCCCCCCCCCCCCTCCCGAAGAAAGTCTACCGCTCCCCCGAAAATTTTAAGTGCCCCCCCCCCCCCTTCCGGAGAAAAAAGTCTGGAAGAAACACTGACTGTGTGTTTTATTTGTCGCGTGTTTTATTTTATTTAACCACAGACACGATCCTGGGAACGGATAAAACAAAGCTGGAATGTGAAGGAAAAAACAAAACAAAAGACAAAGAAGAGAAGTTCCAGATCGAGGCTAAGAGATGGGAAACATCTGTGACTGCTTGAACGAGAAAAAAGTAGGTAGACGAGAAATGTGAAATGTGTGTTGCTACATTTTTGAACTAGCAGGAAAGATAACCCATGAATTATTTTCTCACGGAGAAAGTTTTAAGTTACATCCCTTGTAATGCGCTAAAAAGTAATATCTAAAAAAAAACAAGAACTACGTTTGATCGGGAAAAAAAAAATCAATGCAAAAAAAAAAAATGTTAAAAATTTAAAATGTCTTTTTTTTCATCTTTGAGCTCTAATTACAATCTAAGAGTTTCAAATTGCTCTGTCGCCTGCTATCAGTGCCTGTTCTCAGTTGTCTCTTGAGTGCGAAGCGTATGTGAAGTTAAGTAGTCGTGGTGGTTTGGAGAGTTAGAGCCCTAATCTAACATTCATAAGTTATCCAACATGCCTTAAGCCTAACTTAATCAGAGCCTGATTCCCCAAGCCTAACTAACCCTGAGCCTAATTCACCCCTAGCCTAATTTACCATGAGCCTGATTCCCCAAGCCTAACTAGACCTGAGCCGAATTTACAGTGAGCCTAAAATACGCAAAGCCTAACTACATCGAGCATAATATTCCCCGAACCTAACATTCCCAGGGCCTAATTTACCCTGAGCCTAACTTACTTTGAGCCTAAAATTCGCCAAACCTAACTATACCCGAGGCTAAGACTCCCCAAGCCTAACTTGCCTGAGCCTAATTAACACTGAGCCTAACTAGCTCTAAGCCCTAGCAAAAAAAAAAAAAAAAAAAAAAAAATTAAAAAAAAAACAAGCATGCTTAGCAAAAGGAATTACTGTTGGCCCACGACATTTTTAGCGCATATAGACAAATTAGAACAGTTTTTTTTTTTTTTTTTTTTTTGGGGGGGGGGGGGAGAGAGTTCATTGTAACTGTTGTTGCCTTTCTGTCTTGTTTTTCTAACTGTTGTTAAGTTTTGAACATCAATATAGACCGTAATTATTTGTAATAAAACATCAATCACGAGTTTTTTAAATTTTTCCCACCAATTTGTTTTGTCAAAATGATTTGTAGTTAAAGCATTTGTTTTGTCATAAGAGTGCCTTATCCTATATTTATCGTTTAAAATTAAGTACACCTTCTTGTTTACCAGACAAAACAGAGGTGTATTCTGTTTACAAAAATTGTACTTAAAGGTATAAATGTAAAACAAAATCGAAATCAGCAAAAAATTTTAAAAGCCGAAACATAAGTTTATTTTGTCCACTTCAGTACTCGGACAATCCCAGCCCGAGGACGCCATTGCTGGCAGGAAGTTCCCACGCCCCCACCCTAACACGTCAACCGTCACCGATTGGTCAGTCCGCTCGCCTCAACAAAGTTGAGAAACAGGACTTTGGTGAGTCACTCTTTGTCATTTTTACTTTCGTCAGATCCTTTTTTTTTTTTTTTAAATTAAGTCCGTATATGTTTGTTGTTTTGAACTTAGATTAATCCCTCTTTTGTTTCTTGACTTTTTACTTGTTGTTTAAGTGCCAAAAATCCTATTTTTTTTAATATGTTGCAATCGCCTGAATGACCAATATCGATTAGCCGTTAAAACATTGGCAAACAGACGAACATTATGAGGTTTTCAGCCTATCTGCAACTTGATAATAGCCTATTTGTAAAAAATGATAGCTGCTAAAAAAAACAATACTAAAACCAACATAACACGATGATTACTTGACTGCTAACCCAAAACATTCGAGTTCGAATCCATGTTGAAGTCAGTAGCACGTCCCTGAGTCCACTCAGCACTGAAGAGTACCTAACTCACGTTAAGGAAAGTAAAGGCGGCTGGGCATAGTGTTGACCACACTATCCCTTCATATGCCAAAGTCATTGAAATAGATAAACTCTAGATACATTCGTCCCTCCTGCTCCTATTATCTTTCCTACATATAAACACTCCACAATACATTTACTAGTAATTCTAAAATTGTATTTTTTTAATACAAATTATTAACGTGAACCTTATGCCTACGTGTTATATAATATATTATTTATGTCATAATATTAGACACTCACATAAAAAGGGTCCATGAAGTGAAATGTCACATTAAAAATTGATTCGTGTATAATTACAACTTCTCAAATATCACCCTCCCCCCCCCCCCCCCCCCTCCCCGCACCAACAGAGTCGTCCTTGGATGCTATCCATCAGATTAAGTTATCCAAAGTATCCACAGTCTCATCCTTGGATAAAACGTTTCAGGTAAGTTCAACAAAAATGGTAGTTGATGTGAGTTGTAGGCCTTGTTTATGGTTTTACAACGTTCACAGAAGTCATTGGCTTTTCATTTTCAATTGTCAGTTTTTTTTTCATCTTCAATAAGGCTTTATATCTTCATTAAGCAGTGCTTTTTATCTTCCATAGAGCTTTTCATCTTTAATAGTCATTGTTTTTCATCATCTGTAGTCAGTGTTTTTCATCTTCTGTGGTCAGTGTTTTTCAACTTCTGTAGTCAGTGTTTTCCCTCCATTATATTCTGTGTTTTTATCCACCATAGTTGCTCTCGTGGCCCTATTAAGACATGAATGCATGAATGGTAGAGCTTAATTATATAGATAGATGGGCGTGGTTAGTGCTAGTTTGAGGACGGGACCTGCTGATCTCAGTGTTTCTTTCAGGCCAGCCCATCGTACCCGCCCCCCCCCCACCACCACCACCACCACCCTGCAGTAATTCTTTCAAACTTTTTTTTTCTCGGTTGAGGGAAGGGGGGGGGGGCAATGGTAAAGGTAAATATTTTCTATGTCAATTATATTTCGTTTCCACTCCCGCCCCCTTGTAAGTTTCTAGTAACCAGTGGTAAAAAAAAAGTCTGAAAGAAACCCTGGCTAATTTAATTATAAAAATTTGAATACGTCTGTGTTAGGTAGATCCATGGGCATTTTTCAGTAAGAAGAACAGTTGGTTTTAAGTAGAGCCAAGTTTTTTAAAAATTTACTAAAATAATATTTTCTATTCCTATGTTTCCTTTTTCTGATTTTAAGTGTATCTGTCTTTAAGGGTCATCCCTAAATGACATCACGCTTTATTTGACGATTTTATGCATCCCCTCCCCTCCCTCACATATCGTCTAAAAAATTAGACGAAGTACTAATTTACGCTATTTCCGATTTCTCAAAAAAGGCATGTGAATTTATAAAGTACTAGATCTAATAATATTCCGCACTTTTAGACCTGGATTTTTTTTGGCGTACACTTGGTGCGAAATTCTTTTTTCTACGAGATTCTATTCTATTTTTAAAAGTTTTAAGTAGTTAAAAATTGATTAAAAATCATGTCTATATCCCGAGGTGCCATTCCCGTAGTGTTATATAAGAATATTCGAAAAAGTTTAGGGGAGATCACTCCCGGTTTATTTAAAATGAAAACGTGTGACGTCACACTATCTAAACCCCTCCGTCTCAGCGCACACATCGTCACTAAATTCTGACCCCCCCCCACACACACACACCTGCGAATGTGACGTCATTCATGAACGACCCCCTTTATAACAAAAACGTATAAAATATACCTAAAACACCACAATCACAAAAACAATCAGTGTGTCAATAATGACCCATTAGAATCACATTCCAATCACCCAGGGATTTAGGGGGAAGGCTCCGGTAAAAAAAAACTTTTTTAATACTCGTTAGAAAACAGTTATTTCTTTACAGCTTTATTAAGATACATCCGCATATGCATTTCCACTAAAAAAAAATTTGAAAAAATCTTGGTAACTATGACAACGGCGGCCATCTTGAAAAATTAACCCCTTCGTAGGTTTTCCACCATTCACAAAATATTACATTTTAAGCCCAATAAACGATCAATTCATAATCTTATTCCATATTTTGGGGTAATCAGCTAAAAAAATTTTTAAGTGCATATCTTCAAACTAATTTTTTATGAATTTTCAAAATTTGTGTCTGTTCAAAACACTAGTTTTAATGCCCCAAAATTCCCCAAAATTAAGTGTTTTGAAAGGACACATATTTTGAAAATTCATAAAAAATTAGTTTGAAGATATGCAATTAAAATTTTTAGCTGATTGCCCCAAAATATAAAAGTAGATTATGAATTGATTGTTTATTGGGCTTAAAATGTAATATTTTGTGAATGGTGGAAAACCTACGAAGGGGTTAATTTTTCAAGATGGCCGCCGTTGTCATAGTTACCAAGATTTTTAAAAAAAATTTTTTTAGTGGAAATGCATATGCGGATGTATCTTAATAAAGCTGTAAAGAAATAACTGTTTTCTAAGGAGTATTAAAAAAGTTTTTTTTTACCGGAGCCTTCCCCCTTAACCTTGACCTTTGTCGCCCCCACCCACAGGACCACGGGAAGCTGTACAACGACCTCTACACCAACTTTATCGAGCTCAGAAAGTCGCTCAACACATTCAAAAGTTTTTTTGAGGCCGAGACATCGGGGATTCCCATAATTTCAGACTGCTTGACACTGCTGGCCAAGAGATGTGGTACGTGTTTGTTGTTGTCATGAGTTGGGAATTTTCGATTCTATTTTTAGAATATAGGGATTTATTTTATGTTGTTTTTTTTTTTTGGGGGGGGGGGGAGGGGTTTATTTTACTAGTCAAACTCTTCCTACTTAGATAAAATCATGAAAATATAATGTAAAAAATCTCGGGAGTCACGTATGAAAGTCATTAATCGATGACACCAATTTTAAACGAAATCCCCCCTCCCCAACCCCCCCCCCCCCACATCCCCCCCACCTAAAGGGTACCTGATTTGTTCCTGATTCGTACCTGATTTGTATCTGATGGCTACCTTATTTGTACTTGATAGTTACGTGATTTGTACCTGTTTTATTTATACATGATGGATCCCTGATTTATACCTGTTTTGTACCTGATTGCTACCTGTTTTGTACCTGATTGCTACCTGTTTTGTACCTGATTGCTACCTGTTTTGTACCTGATTGCTACCTGTTTTGTACCTGATTGCTACCTGTTTTGTACCTGATTGCTACCTGTTTTGTACCTGATTGCTACCTGTTTTGTACCTGATTGCTACCTGTTTTGTACCTGATTGCTACCTGTTTTGTACCTGATTGCTACCTGTTTTGTACCTGATTGCTACTTGATTGCTACCTGTTTTGTACCTGATTGCTACCTGTTTTGTACCTGATTGCTACCTGTTTTGTACCTGATTGCTACCTGTTTTGTACCTGATTGCTACCTGTTTTGTACCTGATTGCTACCTGTTTTGTACCTGATTGCTACCTGATTTATACTGGTGTTACCTGATTGCTACCTGTTTTGTACCTGATTGCTACCTGTTTTGTACCTGATTGCTACCTGTTTTGTACCTGATTGCTACCTGTTTTGTACCTGATTGCTACCTGTTTTGTACCTGATTGCTACCTGTTTTGTACCTGATTGCTACCTGTTTTGTACCTGATTGCTACCTGTTTTTTACCTGATTGCTTCCTGTTTTGTACATGATTGTTACCTGTTTTGTACCTGATTGTTACCTGTTTTGTACCTGATTGCTACCTGTTTTGTACCTGATTGCTACCTGTTTTTTACCTGATTGCTACCTGTTTTGTACCTGATTGCTACCTGTTTTGTACCTGATTGCTACCTGTTTTGTACCTGATTGCTACCTGTTTTTTACCTGATTGCTTCCTGTTTTGTACATGATTGTTACCTGTTTTGTACCTGATTGTTACCTGTTTTGTACCTGATTGTACCTGTTTTGTACCTAATGGTTACCTGATTTGTACCTGAAGGTTACCTGATTTGTACCTGATTGCTACCTGTTTTTATACCTGACGTTACCTGATTTATTTGTACCTGATGGTTACCTGATTTGTACCTGATGGTTACCTAACTTGTCTCCCATGACAGTCCTGCCTCTGCCAGCTGCTTCTCCACTGTGCGCCTCCACATCTTCCTCAGCAATACCTTTCTTTTTCCTTGAGGCGTATAGTTTAGTGCCATTTCTTCAACATCAACTGCATTCCTTCTTAAGCCATGCCCCATCCATTACCTGAGAAATACCTGATTTATTGGCCTACCTGAAAGGTACCAGATTAGAGTCTGGAACTTTTAAGTGGCTGTGCACGTGCCGACACACGTAACGTATAATCAGGGATTAAAACACTACCTCACCTGCCATGTTGACATCTGTGTTAATTAAAATTTTCTTAAGAGAAGTTCACACAAAAGTAGGTTGCCTGTATTTTTTGACACCAAATTCAATTAGAAATTTGTCCAAAAAAATAATTCAAAATTGTGATCAGCTGGTAATAGGCTTACAAAATGGTGTGAATTTTTGTAACTGAAGGAAGCTGAATTCTAAGAGCATTATGAAACGTTAAAATATTTAATCAGATAACAGGAAAAGTACAGAACACAGTAATTTCTTTGAAAGACATAAGTCTTAATCTAAGGACTTTTAGACCCAATACTTTAGGGCTAGGCCCTTACTAATATTTTTTGTTTAAATACACATGTTTAAATCTAAAGACTGTTAGGTCAGGTTACCATGACAACCCTTCTGGGATGTCAAGCAAAAACAAGAGCTATACTCAAAAACTATATTCAACACAGAACAGGGTTACAAAAGTCTTTTAAGACCCTAAAATTTTGACTTACATTATGTAGGCCAATATTTCTCTTGAAAAGACAACAGGCATCTCTTTTCTGTGTTACAAAAGTCTTTAAGCCAACTTACAATATGTATAATATTTCTCTTTTAAATGACAACATGCATCTGTTCCGGGTACAAAAAAAAGAAAGGACTTTTAGACCCTACATTTTTTAACCGAACTTATAAAAATATTTCTCTTGAAAAGACAGCAGGCATCTGTTCTGTTTAAGAAAAAAGAAAACGCTTTTAGACCCTACAATTTTAAGCCGACTTACAATATATATAATATATATATAATATATAATAAATAATATTTCTCTTTTAAATGACAATATGGGTACAATACGGGTACAAAGAAAGCAAAGACTTTTAGACCCTATAATTTTCAACCCTACTAACAATATGTATAATATTTCTCTTGAAACAACAATGCAAATCTAACATCTTTCAAAATATGTATGTTATTTTTCCTATTTATCCCTTCTCAATTCTATATAAGCCTATGTTTTTATTTTATTTATTTTTGTGTGTGAATGCACTGAATTATCTTTGTTTTTTTTTTATTTTTTTATTATGTATTGATTTCCATCATATTTTGCGTCCGTGTGATGTCAGGTCAGGCTAAACTGTCAGGCAACAGAACAAAAAACTGCGTGTTGATTTCCTACGACCGGAGGGAGGTCTCCCAGCAGTGCCAAGGCCCACCGGAGGATGTGATTGAAATTATTGAACTCTACAACAAAATCAATAAGTTGATTAAGAACATCCTAGAGAAATCACCTCAGGTGTGGTATTGCGTTTGGTGAAATGGACAGAGTTTCATCTTTTTTAACTTTCATTGTTATACTTAGATTTAGTAGTTATATCTTTTATATGATCTTATTTAAGTAAAAGTAGTATAGAATCCTATTTAGAGCTAGGGATCCATAGGGTAGATGAAATAGAGTTGATATGTTTCTTGACCTCGGAATATGAAGGGAAGTTGTCGTTAGAGGAATGTGAAGGGAAGGTGTGGTCAGCAATTGCCCAACCGCCATCTACTTTACCTAAGATAGGTACCCGTCAGAGCTGGGTGGACTCAGGGATGTTCTACTGACTAGGACCTGGATTCGAACTCGAGACTTTCAGGTTTTAGCACCCTAGCGCTCTACTGCTAAAGCCACACCACCCTATATATTCTTATTTGGCTTATATAACAACTCTACTCTAGTTATGTCATAATGCTTTTGTTCTGTGTCTAATATAAAAACAATTCTATTATTCAAGCTGTGTCATCATTTTTTCGTTCTGTTTAGTTAATCTGCTTAGAGATAATTAAAAGACTGTAGGATTTAACTCACATTTACACTTATGACTACCATTATCTCTTATGCACCAAGTCTGGGTAAGGATTAAATAGGGAAGATTGAGTAGCATGATTGTGTAAAGACTAGGTAAGGAAGATTGAGGAGAAATTGACAACTAAACTTCCTGGCAGATGTAGCTAGTTGTGAAAAATGTTGAGTTATACATATAATTTTTGTATGTGTTATAACAGGTGTACTTTTAAACTTTAAAGTAAAAGTAGTATTTTAACATGTGTTTTTAAAGTGTTATCAAAAGCTATGAAGGTGAGAAGTAATGGTCATAACAAAGGGGAGATAAGCCACTACTTGGGAGGAAGGGAAACAACCACAGTTCGTAGTAGGGGAAACAACTATAAATCTATTTAAACCAAAACAAAGGTTGAAGCATGACAAACAAGTTTTAATTACAACACCAATTAGGAACAAATATAATATAGTATTTTTTAGTATAGACGCAATGGAACAATGTTTCTTTTCTCTTTTCTTTTCGTAGATTTTTATTTGATTCTATCATACAAGTTTTCTTTTAAACGTGTGTGATTTTGTTGGTTACATTTACAAACTATTTACTTTGCAGTATAGGACTATCAAAACATTTTCTGGGTTAATTTTGTTAACACATCAGCAGTCAGATCACACAGAACTTGACGCTAGGCTTGCCTTAAACACACCCTCTCCACACTTTGTCAGACACATCCACCCCCTCCCCCTCTGTCCACTTCACCCTCAGACATGATAACCCCACATCCCTTTTAACTGTTCCAACGACCCCACCACCCACCAAAACATCAGTTTCGAATATTTATTCATTTACTTATTTACCTATTTTTTTAAAATTCACTATTGTACAAATGTAAACGAAATCTGTGTAAAACAATAAATTTGTGTGTGTGTGTATGTGACTACTCTACTGGTTATTCATTTTTCTTTGGTATTTACTACGTTTATTGTACAGAATTGGATGAAATCCATGCAAACTAGCTCTGTTTTCGACTATTCTTCCATATGTTATACTCTTCCACCAATTCTTTTGGCAAACATGTTACAAACCAGCCACTTTTCAATTTTTGAACCAACAAGCTTTAAATTCAATGTATCTTATGTATTCATTTACATATTTCGCTATTTATTTACTATACTCTGTACACCAATGTAACTATCTTGTAAATATCCACCCAAACGCCGTGGAATGTTACTGTATTTGTTTTAAATTGGAAAATATTAGTACTAAAAAAAATTATTTCTTTTTTCTTTTAAAAACAAAAAGTCATAGATTTAATTGGAAAGTAAAATGTAGTAAAAAAAAAGAACATATTTATACAGTGTTTGTATTTCTTCAGGTGAGAAGTTCCATAACTCTTGTCCTTGAGGAAGAACAGAAATTGAAAAGGGAGGTAACAAAAGCAGACCCTGATGGTAAACTGGGACCAGAGCCTCTGAAATTAACAAGCGAAAACTTCCAGAAACTTCACAAGTTGCCAGAGTATATAAACACAATAGAAAAATACACTAGCAAAACTTGCAAGGAAATTTTAAATGGTTCAAAGCCCTTATTTGAAGATGTTTAATGTTATTTATTAATTTTTTTTTTATTTCTGTGTTATTTTTTATTTGTTTTTCTATTGATTTTATGTTAAAAATCTCCTATTATGTTACTGGCATTAAAATTGGATAATAAATGTTTAAATTAAATATTTTCTTGAAAAACAAAATTTTTTAATAGAATTACTATAGTTAGGATTAAAAAAAAAATGTTCTGTTTTGTTTCTTGAAAACATTGCGAGTCTAATTTCATTCCTATTTTAACATGCTTATCACCAGTATTAAAAATATGTTTTTCATTGCCTTAAATTCAAGCGTATCATCTATAAGTTCATCTCTTCATTTATAACATGATGATATATAATATATACCATTGTGATTACACCCTTATCAACGGTTTGTACAATCTAACTAACTCCCAGATTTAAGATAAACACTTCTTTCATATCAAGCTTAAGCATCAAATTTTATCACCATCAGTCTATCTATATGGAGGCATATAGATAGACTGCTGATTCAAAAGATTTGAATTCAAGTCAGTAGAACATCCCTGAATCCAGCTCTGATGGATACCTAACTCTCTTTAGGGAAAGCAAAAGCAGCTGTGCATAGTCCTGACCACACTATCGCTTCATATGCCAAGGTCTTGAAACAGATAAACTCTACTTCATCTGCCCCATCTGTCTTGGGCATGAACGAGAAAAGATGATGATAAGTATTACATATTTTTTCCATCAGTATTTTTGTTCTTTCTATTAATAAAGTAGCGCTTGCTAACCAGTATAAAGGAATTAGATGAGTTTTGAGAGGATTGGTTGTCTTGGCAACAAGCTAGGTATACCACATATACAAAATCTGGTGACGTAAACCAGGCTTAACCTGCTAGGTTATTGTTTAGGAGGGTAGGGTTCGGGATTAGGATTCTGGCTAGATTTAGGATTGGGATTAAGGACAATGGTTAGGGACAAAGACAATATAGGGTTATTGATAGGATGGGGGCTAGAACAAGGGATAGGTTTAGGGTTTGGGTAAGGACCATGACATCATTTGGGGTTAGGATCTTGGCTTTAATCAGGGATCAGATTGGGACTAGGATCTTGGCTAGGGCTAAGTATAGCCTCAGAAATAAGGGGTTGGGCTCAAGGCTATATCCACAATAGCAGCTCTTGTAAACTAATCACTATCAATGAACTCTGTGGATACAGAGGAAAATATGGATACATAGGAAAATATGGATACATAGGAAAACATGGATACATAGGAAAATATGGATACATAGGAAAATATGGATACATAGGAAAACATGGATACATAGGAAAATATGGATACATAGGAAAACATGGATACATAGGAAAACATGGATACATAGGAAAATATGGATACATAGGAAAACATGGATACATAGGAAAATATGGATACATAGGAAAACATGGATACATAGGAAAACATGGGTACATTAGATACAAGTTTCATTTTTAACAAAGAATAGATCAAATAATGATGTTTTGTTTTTCAAGCTACCTTGTTAAAAAAAAAAATTCATTATCATATATATTAATTTAAAGTTTGTTATTTTCAATCTCATTTACTTACTTAAAGCCTACACTATTAAATTATCAGTAACAGCTAATCAGATTATTTCTGTTGTTATTTTCTTTTTTATATTATTGTTACTTTTATAACCATGTGAAAAATGTTGACTAAAAAATTTTCAGTACTATACTTATACATGATTTATAATTGAATGTTTGAATAATATTGAATTTATCTGTGATTTTTTTCTTTATGTTCATGTTACAATTTTCAATATATTAGTATTGTGAGTGAATTCTGACTCTTATCAAAGTTAAATATATTAGCAAATTGTGAATAAGTTTGAGGCAAATTGCATTATGCATGTAGTAACAATATCTTTAATGATTTATCTCCAATAAATAATAACAGATAAATATTAATTTCTTGTTGTTTTTTTTACATTTAAGGTGGATTTTATAATATGTTATAGTTATAATTCTGTTATAAGTAGAAAATTGTTATTAAAATGTTTATAAAATGTTAACAATTTTACCGCTGTTGCGTCATGGTCTAAAATTGTTAAATTTTGTTATGTTTTTTTATATGTTATATATTGTTATGTTTTTCTGTATGCCATATTGTATGTATTGCATTTGAAAATCCAATCAGTACTTTTGTTATTTTTTACGTATGCTTTATAAATTGCATTTGAAATTCCAGTCAGCAGTCACTGTTGTGTTGTGTAGGCCTATATCAAATTTATGAAAAAATACATCGTTTGCTGTCTTTCAAAAAGGAATCTTATTTATTGATTAAAACAAAAGTGGTTTTTTAAAAACATGGATGTCTGATTAAAGCAAGATTGAAATTCTTAAAAACATTTTTCTGTTTGATCATTAAAAAATTGATTAATCACCTGAATGTAAATATATACCTGTAAGGAAAACAAAAATAAACTTTTTAAAAAAAATGTTAATACGACACTTTATTTTCCTTTGATGAAACTTTTGCCCTCTTTTTCTAATTAAGAAAGGTAAAACATAAAAATTGCTAGCCTGCAGTTTATGAACTCTGAGATACAGACAAGGGCCAGTGGTAGTGCTGGATTTACATATAAGCTAAAAGGATATAGGGCCCCCACTTTGTTAGGGGCTCCCTTTTTTTTCCTAATGAGCAATACTCATGTATAGGCCTATGTATATACTCCTTTATTTGTCTCAAGGAAAACTCTGTATACCATGGAATAGCTATGGTAAAATATTAAATTTCAGGGCTTATGTTGGAGTCCCATATCTCAAATAAATTAGGGCCTCACCAGGACTACATACGATACGGAGTGGCTTAGCCGTACAGCACTAAAAGTAAAAGTTTCCCTTTCAAACCTGACGGTCTATGGGGCAAGTGAAGTAGAGTTCACTTGTTTTTGTGACCTTGGCATATGAAGAGATAGTGTGATCAGCACTATGCCCAACCGCCTTTACTTTCCCTAAACTCGAGACTTACAGGTTAGCAGTCCAGCTCTCTACCGCTAGACCACCCAGTCCCATTATACAGCACTATACTACTAACCCAAAAGTCTTGAGTTCGAAACCGGATTCAAGTCAGTAGAACTCAGCTCTGATGGGTACCTAACTCACGTTAGGGAAAGTAAAGGCGGCTGGGCATAGTGCTAACTATGCTATTTTGTCATATGCCGAGGTCATAGAAACTGGTGAACTCTACTTCACTTGCCCCAAAGACCCTCATAAGGGAACTTTCATTTTTTTATCAAGAATCTATCTGTCCCTAGCTAGCCGAGACACACAAATTAATATGTGAGTCTCAACGAAGACAGTGACAAAATAGCCTGGGTTAAACCATAAGTCAATATTTTTTAGTTTTTATTAAGGGAGATAATCTTTCTAAAAAATTAACTTATACCTACTTTAAAAAAAAAACCATCCTACACCTACTTCACTGTGACTGATTGCATTGAATTCATACATGTAAATATGTAATCTCATATAAATTTGCCTGATGATGTTTCAGTATGTTAGACTCAATATTTTTAAAGATTCACATAAAAATTTATGGCACTGTACACCAGTATAATGTGTAAAAGGTTTTTGTTCTGTTATACAACTCGTATTTCCAGTGTTGTACCAACATATGGAAGTTCATACAATTTTCTAGTTCATCTTTGTATTGTCAGTTGTAACAATGATTTGCTTGTGAGGAAAGAAATGTATTGTTTGATAAATAAAATACTTATATTTTCTATATTTCAAAAGTTGTGCTTTTAATTAGTCTATTATTGCACTAATTAATTTTCCATTTATCAGACTACATATTAATTATATTTATTATAACGTCACCTTTAAACGGATTATCTTAAATTGTCTGGTTTGATCACCTTTAAAATTTATTATCTCACCATCTCATTTGATCACCTTTTAGTTTAATATTTTACCATTCAACTAGATATTTTTCTTTATAGGAAGGAGTGCGCTTCAAACTTCTGGTTGGGGAGAGGAGGGGAGCGGACATTGGTTGAAGTACATATTTTTTAATATAAACTTAAATTATTTTAATTTCGTCGGAGGGAGGGGGGGGGGCTTGCTCCTAGGGGGTCATCCATAAATGACGTCACGCTTTTTTTGACAATTTTTACCTCCCCCCCTCCCCTCCGTCACACGTCGTCACAAAAAGCCAGACCCCCTAAAATGACGTCACACCTCAACCTACAACCCCCCCCCCCCTCAAAATTGCAGTTGAATTTTTTTTAAACATCGATATTTTCCCAAAATCTTGTCTAAACTATTACAATTTATTAAAACAGTTATCTAAAACGCGAAATAACGTCTAAAATTCGTTTTCTAACATTACTTTTTATAATGCAAAAATGTGACGTCGCAACATCTGATCCCATCCCCCTCCCCCTGATCACACATCGTCACAAAATTACGGACCCCCCCTCCCCCCTACGAGTGTGACGTCATTTATGGATGACCCCCTAGGGTGGGTCACAGTTCCCCAGTAAGATGCCCTGAAAGAAACTCTCCTCACCATCCCATTTGATTACCTTTAATTGTATTATTGCATCCTATCATTTGTACCACCATTAGAACTAACTCACCATCTCCACCTTTTGAACTCTTAATTCGTAACGTCACACTAATATCGAATCTATCCAGAAATAGATAATCAGCACATCCTATCGCTTTAAAATTGCCTACCTAATTCTTTTAATGAAGCTATTTATAACATGAGTTCAAAGAAAGGAACAAAAAAAAAAAAACCAAAAAGAACATGAAAATTGCATGCTAGCTTATCCGTCTACAGAGTGCAAGCAACTGGGTTGGAAAATTGGGCCCTACTCACTCTGACAAGTGACAAGTGTAACGCAGAAACGGCGCGGCAGATCCGCGTCGAAACTTGACGTCACAGGAAACCGGGAATTACCGTTCATGCGATGGTGCGGTGTGCAAGGAAGATTACTCTGACGCGTCACGCGATTGTCTTGTTGATGTTGAGGAGAGAATGAGGGCGTAGGCCTGTATTTAAAAACAGAAACTTTTGCTTGTTTATCATTTTTTTTTCTCGTTCGTGCCCAAAACACATGATGCGGGCGAAGTAGAGTTAATCTTAAAGTGCTAGGGTGCTGAAGGCAAGGGTAGAATAGATAGATTCATCATCAACATTATTTTTCCCATTAGTTCTCAAGAAACATGGGGCAGATGAAGTAGAGTTAATCTGTTTCAGATTACCTCGGCTAACGAAGGGATAGTGTGGCCAGCAATATGCCTAGCCGACTTTACTTTTCCTAACTTGAGTTTCAATGACGTTCTACTGACTTGAACTCGAATTCGAAACTTTCGGATTAGCAGTCTAGCTCTTTACCGCTAAACCACGTCCCTTTTGCTTGTTGTATATAGGTACTAACCGGCTGCCAAACTTTCATATCGAAAAAGAAGGAGCTAGAAATATCTGGAACAGATTATACCAAAATATACCTGTAACCAGTGGCGTCGCTAGGTCGGGTGTCACCTGGTGCGGCACCTTATGGTGTCACCACCTCCCCCTTTTATTTCTCTCTGTAAATTTTGCAGTTGGTAAAAGCTTTTAAGTGTTCACATTTAATACTAATGATATTTACATACAGTAAGTTGTTGTTATATTAATACAGCTGGGTGTAGCATGGTTTTCTCTATAGTTTGCGTGTTTACGTCATGGTGTAAACCATCCCCCCCCCCCCCACTACCACCAGCACCTCGTGTTTGGATCTTCATTATGTATTTTAAATACATTTTAACTCTAATTAACCATTCATTGAACTGGCAAAATACATATTTATTCCATAAATCGTGCAATTTATTTAGTTTTTGTGTCACCCCCTAAATGGTCTCACCTGGTGCGGTCCGTGGGTGTGTGTGTGTGTGTGTGTGTGTGTGTGTGTGTGTGTGTGTGTGTGTGTGTGTGTGTGTGTGTGTGTGTGTGTGTGTATGTGTGTGCCTATAGCACGGGTGGAATTTCTGTGTCAAGAGGCCTGGGAATGTTTAAAAGGGGCTTCTCAACCCCAGTTTTTTCGCCCAACAAAGGCTGATGATCATCATGAGCTTGATGGAAATTTACTCGATCATTTGTTTTTTTTTAAACCAAAGCACGAAAAGGCTAAGTACATCGCCACTCCATTGGGACCCCCGGGGTTTCTTACCTGTGGGGCCGG